CAGTAAATACTGTAACTGATTGAATTCATATGCCATGACACTTTATTTGGGTGATTGAGGCACTCAGGGTCCCTTTACCTCAGTCACTTCCTGGCTGTGCTCAGTGTAATTTATGGTCACATACATTGCACCTTTTAATATGTCGATACAGAATTGTGTTTTAACCCCCTGACCAATGATTTTGGATGTAGAATTAACGACAGTTTTGTATGCAGTTGATATTACAGTTTATGTGGAAAGTTGGTGTTCTTTAGTTCCAAATTAAAAGTGAAAAAAGAAATTATTTTGTAGGTTCAAGTTCAGTGATTCAACCAAAAAATTAAACATGCTTTCTAACTTAACATCCTGTAACCATTGAATACACAACATCCTAAGGAGAATATTAATTTTAGTGCGGGTTGTGTGATTTAATTTAAGATAATCAAGTATCTTTAGCATGTGACTAATTTTTCCTATCCAGAATTATGATGGGTTAATGGTGTGCTTTTTAATCTTTTTCTACAGTTGACTTTGTGCTCAAAGATCCTAGAGAAAAAGATGATGATAAAAAAGAGGAAGTTTTAGAACACAAGAAAGAGTGAGTACATGCACTGATGTTTTATTAGAACTTTGATTGATGTGTTACATTAATTATGCAATTTGATTTTGAACCAATATGAAAAACATAATTTTCTTTTTAGTACTGATGATACATATCATACACATATGTGTACATTTTGGCCTAATACCTCTAGTAGCTGTCTTCAATGATTGAACGTAATGCAGTAGCTGGTCTTTCCCTTACTTCTTCTGTTCTAATGACTTGAACTATTGTATTTGTGAGTGCCTCAGAGATATGCATTGAATATTTTGATATCCTGCTGTTAATTATTACCCTTTACAGCTTCACTCATGCACACATTCATTAGTTTCAAAGTGTGGATTTTTCTTTTAAAACTCAGCTACTGATTTGTTTACATTCTCTATATTACATGTAAGTATTTTGACAAATAATAACAGTTACATGTAGTTCTCAGATTTTTTCATACAAAGAAAACAGTTGGGAGTGCTTACAGGATGATAAAAATTGTTTCTTACATGTACATGTAAATGCTTGGTGCTAACATACAGTGTGATATTGTCTCAATTTAGGTTGATGCAGGTTCCTAAACCTTGGTACAGATCATATGTCACTGCTAAGGCAGCCATGCAACAGGACTTGTTTGGAACCAATCCTACCATGGCAGCTGTGCTGGACTTGTGGCATAAGACTTTTGGGTACAGTGATTTTACTCTAGCTTGCAGTGATATCCTTATGGATATTTTCAAGTGTATCCTGTGCGTGTATCTGAATATTGTGTAAATTATACTTTCTGTATTTTGATCGAGGGGCATTTCTTAAGTTGCATTACTTTTAGCCTTATTGATCACTACACATTATTTATGTAATGATTATCTCATGCTTTCTTGTAGTAATTTGAGGCTTGTGGATATTCATGACATCCAGTTACGGCCTGAGGCTTTGGAGCTTGCCATGTTTCAGAACGTTGTAATGAGACACATTGAGATTGCCAAGGAAACACTTTTGAAAAAGTAATATTTTTTCTCTTTCTTTTTTCTTTAATCTTGTCTCTGTGCTATTTAGTGCCATGCTAATTATGATATCATAGTTTTATTTGTGCAATCTCAGCGTAGATAATGGATTTAAAATATTGATATTGAACCAAATGACCATTTCTGCTGCAGAAATAAGTAATTCAAAGCAGCTAGTAAGTCATTCTCTTCATTTAATTTTGTGCTAATGGAGGAAATTTAGTCCTTGAACAGTCCTTGAAATACCTTTGAAAAAGGAATTTTGTCAGGCAACTTTTTTGTGTCAACTGTGAATTGATAGTTTTTTTTACATAATTATGTATGCACACAAAATTTTTTCATTAAATAATTACACCACATTTAAGTGGTATAAGTTAACTCTTACAATGAAAGTTAATTGTTTAGAATATTGATTTTGTGTGGTTACTTCTCTTAAGGTGGTTTCCAGAAGTGCAAAATATTTATTATCAAGGAAACAAACGCAAGCAAGTACCCAGCAACCAAAATGCCAAAAGATTGGAATCATTTTTTAATGCCGCTGCAGTTTTAATGACAAACCAACTCCAGATGTTGGCTCTTAATTCCATTGATGATTTTACGAAGCTGTTTTGTCCCCCAGCAGTAAGTTTCATATAATTATTTGTGTACAGTTACCTGTAAATGTTGTATGATGTAACTTAAATTTAATTTTGTCACGTAGTGTTTTCCATGGTAATTACAAAGAAATTAACTTTTGTTATTTAGGGATATTATTATCATAAAGTGAGGTATTAAAGGTACTCTCTGGATTAGAACAATCAGATGATTGTGTAACTTGTTACGGCTGTCAACCGAAGCTTGATTGATATAAAGTTGCAGCTGACACTGTCTTAAAGTTAGTGTTGAGGTTCAAGAATTTGCCTTGACAATTTTTGTTAAGGAAACACAGGGGAAGAAGAAGGAAAGTAGAGTGTAGAAGTGTGCAGTGTATTGGTAATTCCTTATATTGTGCAACCATTGAAACACAAACAAATGTCATTTATTTGTTTAAATTTAACAGGATTCCATCAGAGCATTTGAACATCCAGGGTTTATCATGAGGCTTGTATTAGAGGGTGACACAGTAAAATTTGAGCCAGATTTCAAAGATTTTGAGGTACCAGTGTGTTTACTTACAAATTATCATTATTTTCAGATAATCATCGTCAATGTTAATTTTAGTGAACAATTTTATTATACTGTTGTTGAGTAATCAGTGATTTTTTATGAAAAGAGTAATGACATCAATGACAAAATGCTTGTCTTACATGTACCTGAATCTAATTGGTCCTTAAACAGCCTTAATTTATTCCTTACTTGGTTTGATGGGTGCCACACCAAACTGTCTAATGTACATGTAACTTGTCGTGATAGCAGTTTCTTAAAATTTAATGTCTAGCTTACCATTGCTAGCAATCAAAAGCAAGCAACATCATTTGTGAACAGATTCCCAAGATTCTAGTTGATCAGAAAATGAATGAAATTAACTGGTTTAGTGACTTTTATTCTGATATGTTTTCTTTAAGGTTTGACAACCATTTCAGTACAGTGGCCATTGGCCTTAAGAAAGCCTTCATATGAGCACTAGTGATAATGAAAATTGTCAATAAATAATGCTGTGGGGTGATTTGAGACTGCTCCTTTTTTTACTCCCTGAATGTTACTGATTTTGGTTCTCCTACCTTCACTCACCTTGTTCATTTTCTTCCAGGTGGTTTTGCTGAACGTGTATGACGTAATGGTCAAGGCAGTAATGGTTGTACCCAGAGTGGAAACCAAGTTGTACTCAGAATGGGTTAGTTGACAAATTATAAGTTATTAATTGATGATTTATTGTAGAAACTGTCCAGTAAGTGTTTGCTAACAGAGGTCTTCAAAGCCATGTAATAGGAACTGAAAGTCACCTGAAGTAGATGTAAAATTTGAATTTTTCAGCAGTCATTGAATGCAATACTGTTGCAGATTAGGTAGGGATGACAATGAAGGAAACCTCTGGTAAAGCATGTTCATGCATGAGCCTTGCCATTGAAGGCCATTGTGCATGCAGATATAGCCATCAGTCCTGCTTCCCCTATCCCTCTACAGCCACTATCATAAACAAATCTGTTGACTCTAGAGGTCTGAGCTACAAATGAATTTAAATTTATGCTAGTCTTATATTCAGGTCAGGTTCATATACATGTATCCTACTTTTCCTGTGTATTTCCCTCTTTCATTGTAATTTTGTATGGACAGTGATACAAAATGTGTGTTGGTGAGAAAGATACAGCAGATTTAGGAGCATTGATAAGGAAGGGGAAAGGGAATTTTCTTTTTTCATACATTTAAAGTTGACCTAGGAACATTAATTCTTTTAAAAGTGAGGCTTTCATACACTTGTAAGCAAATTATCGAAACCGTGAGGTTTTGTCCGTGATTGTAGGTTCAAAAGCTTTCAAAATCTATTTTGCGGACTATACTTCAATCTACAACTTGAACAACAAATGAATACTTACGTATCACTTGTTAGCAGTTGCCTAAGGTTTGACTGGCCATCACAGCATTATTAAAAGTGAAAAAGTCTTTTTTAACTTTCATAACAGCAGCAACAGGCTAAGCTTAACTCATGTTTATCGGAACTGTTATCGTTTCTGGGTCATGTTTACTGCGTGTTTTCACAGGCAATATAACCTGTCTGTTAGCTGTCGGTAGCCTGTTGGTAACCTGTTGGTAATCTGTCGGCCGATAGGTTTTTTGGGGAGCTCTTCTTCACAATTACCATAATTATTTTGATGGTTCTGTTTTTCTTACTGTTTTTTCCCAGTCTGGAACAAAGAAAACACTAAAACCTGTGGTCTCTGATGAAATTGTCAATGAGGCAAAAGCGAAAGTAAGTCTATGAGAGTCCACACAAGAAACCACATTTAATTTAATTTTTCTTTGTTAATACTAGTACTAACAATCTGCATAACTATTCATTTTCAGTTTTCTAAATTTTTATCTCTGATTGCCTTGACATGCAGAAGGAGAACCCATTAATTTGATGATTAATTTTAGCTGGTGAAAATGTACACTTGATCGAAATGCCTTTTAAACAGCTGATCTTGAACTGACATGCACATTGTAGGTAGAAGCTGTGGTAGCACGTGAAATGTCTGGACCAAAGGAACATTTGAAGTTTTATGACAAGTTCAAGGACCTGATAAGCCGAAAGGTAATTTATAAACTTGAAAAACTTTAAATTACTGTGATGTACCCCTATTGATAATGTTTTTAGACATAAATGACACGAGGTGATTCTCCCTTTTGTAAAGGGTGTGGCTCAGTGTATCTTGCACTGCTTGTGCCTTACCCTAAGTTTTACCTTGCAAAGTATGGAGATGCTTCAATTAAGTTTTGATTGTTTAAATGTGGAGCAGGTCATGAAATAGATAGAACAATGTGAAAGTATTTTATGAGCTCATATTTAATCAGGGTCCAAAGCAATTTTTGTTCATTTTTCTATATATTTAATTTCCATGTGAGTGATGGTTACATTGAATTCATTTGAATAAATCCATTTTGTTGATTATTTAATCTTTAGGCAGAGGCAGATGTTGACCAATTCATGTTGGAAGGTCACAAATTTCCCCGCTTTGCAAAGGTCAGAATACTTTCCTTTACAAGTAATTTAATTTAGGGGTATAATTTTGGCAGAGATTTATGTAAAGTTAATAAGTCAGATCAGAATCTCTGTTTTGTATTAATTTTAATAACTTGAAAATAATGAATACCATCAGAATTTAAATTTGTGAACTTGTTGCAGGAAGTGGAAAAGTATGCAAAACTGGTTGACAGCATCCAGTACAACTCTCAAAAGGTAGGTTTGATGGAGAAGATAGTTGAAATTCATTTTTATTAGTAATCCAACAAGTGTACTGGGTGAATTTATAGAATGGAGTGCATAATCAATATGGGATCTTCTTATTAATATGTTTATCTATTTATCCCTTTTCTTCAGGTGACAAGAGTTGGAATGTTTGAATTACACTGCGATGAATTAATAAGAGCACTAGCCAAGAGAGCAGATGGTTTAAGAACCAAATTACTTCAGAGAATGAGCAAAGATCATCAGGTTTTGAATAAGAGGTAAACTGTGCTTGTGGTAACACGTATAATTGATAGTTCAGCTTCATTCTTAATGTCAGTTGAATTGAATTTCATTGATTCTATAGTAAAGATATTTATCCTTTGTGTTTTTTCAAGACTCTGAGAAGAGTATGAGAGGATAGCAGAGAAAGCCTTGACTTCTCCAGCAAATACAGAGCACCTGATGGAGCTGAAGGTACCCTTTGGTTTAAAAAAAGAAACTCTCCAAAAAATTATTAATTAGGATGGAGCTGAAGCACAAAATTCCTGCTCATCAACTCTTAATATTCAGGGTTGCTATGTTACATTTTTGTAAACACAGGTTTAACCAGCTTATTGGATGACATAAAGCAGTTTCCAATTGAGTGCTGAAAAACCAAAACCAAAGTAACCCAGCAACCAATCAGAACAAAGGTGTAAGATCATCATTTTGTTAATGAGAACTCCAAATGAAAAACAACTAATTCGCTTAAAGCACTGGAAATCACAATTGACCAAGTGCATAGTGATTGTTTTTAGTTTCCCATCTAATTAGTTAGAATGATGGTGTATTAGTTTTCTGGACTAATCACAGAGCAAAGTTAATAAGTAGAACCAAAGCAGCCCAGTATTACTTTTGATACTCAATCGAAAATTGTGCTTTAGAGCTTATCATTGACTCCAGCTTTTTCTTTTGATTGATAAACGAGTGCTTAAAAATGAGAGAAAATTTTGTAAGCCGTAAGTTCAGTCTTACTAACAGTAATTGTGATATTTATCAAATTATTTACATGTACTTCTTCCTTCTTAGAATTATATTGAGCAAGTGGAGAATGAAACAATATTTGACCTCGAAAAGAGACTGGTGGACACCAAGAACAGACTGGCCTTCTTGGTAAGATTATAGCATGTATATTTCAGAATATTGTGGAATATGAAGAATGATGGGTCAAAAATTTGCTAGTCAAGAGTAAATGACTGTAAAAGCCCATGGATAAGCCTCACTTTTTTTCCAAAAATCGTCGCTAGAAATTGGGGGTGTGGCTTATCTGTGGGAACATTTGAAAAGGGTGTCATGAATGTTCATTTTTGCATCCGATCTAATGCCTGGTTACTAAGCTTTGAATGTTCTGCCCATGTTCTTGTTGTAATGGAAAAATCTATGGAAAAACTCTGTTGAATGAAGAAATTCCTGTCAACAAATACCAGAAAAAGACCAATCATATTTCAAAGTTGGTAGAATCAATGTTCATTATATTAAAGTGCTAAAATTGTGGGTAACACTTTGAAGTACTTTCTACGTATGATGCACGATCCTCGCAGTAGATAGCGCTATTTATGCAATAGCGAAAATCAGACCTGAAAAAAATCAGGCCTGTACGGGACTCGAACCACTGACCTCTGCGATACTAGTGCAGCGCTCTACCAATTGAGCTAACAAGCCAACTGGGAGCAGGCCGTTAAGTTGATTCGTAATAAACCCGTGAAAGTGATAAATGAGATACAATGAATATATGAAGTTCATATATTTTGAACTGCGGTATTAGATACGTATGATGCACGATCCTCGCAGTAGATAGCGCTATTTATGCAATAGCGAAAATCAGACCTGAAAAAAATCAGGCCTGTACGGGACTCGAACCACTGACCTCTGCGATACTAGTGCAGCGCTCTACCAATTGAGCTAACAAGCCAACTGGGAGCAGGCCGTTAAGTTGATTCGTAATAAACCCGTGAAAGTGATAAATGAGATACAATAAATATATGAAGTTCATATATTTTGAACTGCGGTATTAGATACGTATGATGCACGATCCTCGCAGTAGATAGCGCTATTTATGCAATAGCGAAAATCAGACCTGAAAAAAATCAGGCCTGTACGGGACTCGAACCACTGACCTCTGCGATACTAGTGCAGCGCTCTACCAATTGAGCTAACAAGCCAACTGGGAGCAGGCCGTTAAGTTGATTCGTAATAAACCCGTGAAAGTGATAAATGAGATACAATAAATATATGAAGTTCATATATTTTGAACTGCGGTATTAGATACGTATGATGCACGATCCTCGCAGTAGATAGCGCTATTTAAGCAATAGCGAAAATCAGACCTGAAAAAAATCAGGCCTGTACGGGACTCGAACCACTGACCTCTGCGATACTAGTGCAGCGCTCTACCAATTGAGCTAACAAGCCAACTGGGAGCAGGCCGTTAAGTTGATTCGTAATAAACCCGTGAAAGTGATAAATGAGATACAATGAATATATGAAGTTCATATATTTTGAACTGCGGTATTAGATACGTATGATGCACGATCCTCGCAGTAGATAGCGCTATTTATGCAATAGCGAAAATCAGACCTGAAAAAAATCAGGCCTGTACGGGACTCGAACCACTGACCTCTGCGATACTAGTGCAGCGCTCTACCAATTGAGCTAACAAGCCAACTGGGAGCAGGCCGTTAAGTTGATTCGTAATAAACCCGTGAAAGTGATAAATGAGATACAATGAATATATGAAGTTCATATATTTTGAACTGCGGTATTAGATACGTATGATGCACGATCCTCGCAGTAGATAGCGCTATTTAAGCAATAGCGAAAATCAGACCTGAAAAAAATCAGGCCTGTACGGGACTCGAACCACTGACCTCTGCGATACTAGTGCAGCGCTCTACCAATTGAGCTAACAAGCCAACTGGGAGCAGGCCGTTAAGTTGATNAATAGCATTGCCAATTTAATTTCTTGTTTCCTTATTTTCATTCACTTATACGATTCAAGGAAAATTCATTACGTGACTCATGAATTCCTCGTTAAAACTGCACTTGAAAACCAATATCGCATGAATCGCTTCGCGATTAAATGTGGGATATCGCTTTTCGCGTGCAATTTAACACAGAATTCCCTTGTCAGGTAATGAGTTTTCCTACAGAATCGTAGCATGGAATACAATCTTGCATTCTGATTGGTTAAGGTAGGGAGGTATTTAGCGTGGAATTGCAAGTTGAAAACGAGGCTAAGTGATATTATTTCACATCTACGTAAGCATAAACAACTATGGTCAAATTGTTACAAAGTTTGGTTTCTAAGACAATTTAAAATGTTTTCAAAACCATTGTCACTTTTTAAGAGCCAAAAACTAAAAAAGCATTTTTCAAAGTGAGCCTGAGGTTCTCCCTTGTTTTGAACTGAACTATAAATTCTTGGAGAGGCATGAAAAACCTCTTTTGCTCGCGACAATGCAAAAGCATGAAAATCCTGTGAACACGGCAGCCCAGAAAAAACAATCTCCAAGCTAACAGGTCACGCCAACCTGGGTTCAATTAATCCACCTACAGCCATAATCTTTTAGAAAAACAACGAAAGATGTCAAGCAAGTTGGCTGAGTTTTCAGTCGTACCATTACGACTGTCACAGGTGCTAACGGCAGTGGCAATCCACGCACTGAAGCTTTGCAAGATAATTGCGGAGACAGCGTTCCACAAAGCGTACTACTTCCGCGCGAAACACGCTACAACATACTTTAACAATGAGATACAATGAATATATGAAGTTCATATATTTTGAACTGCGGTATTAGATACGTATGATGCACGATCCTCGCAGTAGATAGCGCTATTTATGCAATAGCGAAAATCAGACCTGAAAAAAATCAGGCCTGTACGGGACTCGAACCACTGACCTCTGCGATACTAGTGCAGCGCTCTACCAATTGAGCTAACAAGCCAACTGGGAGCAGGCCGTTAAGTTGATTCGTAATAAACCCGTGAAAGTGATAAATGAGATACAATAAATATATGAAGTTCATATATTTTGAACTGCAGTATTAGATACGTATGATGCACGATACGTATGTTGCAATGTTAATGATGAGTTTTCATTCAATGAACAGTGGATGAAGAAGACCTCTCAAGACTCGACTTTGGATTTCTTTTGATTTCTATCAAAAAACTTTTTTTCCAAAATTTGAGCCGCTAAATTCGGGGTGCGGCTTATCTGTGGGTGTGGCTTATCCACAGGCTTTAACGGTACTTAAGAAATTACCCTAAGCAATAAAGTTTGTTAATCATAAAAGGTCTAATCAACAACCTTAACTTTCTGTACAAAAGGAAAAAAGTAGGAGTTTTGCATTTAATATCAAGTTATTATATATGTCATGCATAAGTTCAACTTTCACTACAAACTAGGTAAAGAATTAAAATTTGGATTTCTACCACATTAAGTGACATTGTTCTCTTTGACAGGTGGACTATGCATCATTTTCTCCAGCTGACATGAGACTAAACAACAGTGTCTTTCAGTGGCATTTCCGCATGCCAGAGGTCTTTGAAGAGCACAAAAAGATAATCAATGCAAACCGTCTACAATATGAAAACAGCCTCAAGGTAAGCTACTCTGTGAGTCTCAAAGGGTGAAACAGTTACAAGGAGAGAAAGGTCATTTGACTGTTTGACCATAAATTATTTTTACTAATCAGATGCGGCGCGAGAGATTTGTAGAGGAACTGGAAAGCTACTCAAAACAGCTTGAGGAGTTCCAGACATTTGGTGACATGCAAGAAATTCAGCGTTATCTCAAGAAAGCACAAGCTCTCAATCAGAGACTAGAATCAGCTGCTGAAAAGGTAGGTATCAAGCAATTCTTTTAGTCATTCTAAACAAAACTTGAAGCATTAGACAGGATCTTACAACTTGATTCCAACAGTGTGCCATCCTTTGAAATCCTTAAAATTAAATTTCCATCATTTCTGTGGGTCAGGTTGTCCATGTTCATTTTTCATTATTAGTCAACCACCTGAATTAACATTTACCAAGTTCAAATGGAATGTAATTGGTGAGAGTTCAACATCATGATATGCCCCTAACCTTTTTTTTTAATTCCTCATTTAGATACTGACTTTCAACCAGGAAGAAGAAGCTTTTAATTGGGATGTGACCACTTATCCACAGAGGCAGCAGCTTCTAAACACCCTGAATCCTTACTTGAAACTGTATGAAACAACTGTAGAGTTTCAGAACAAATACAAGTAAGTGACAATTTGTTGTCTATGTACAACTTTTATTTTTTATTGTCTGTAAAAAAGTTAGATTGAACTTTTTTGTGGGCAAAAGAATTCTGTATCCCTATTACCTGCAGTGGTAATTATTATAATTTCTACATTTACAGTGTAGATAACATTAACATTGAGGTAAGTAATTGTGATATGTTAGCACAACACTAGGATTTCTGCAAGCATACTTTTTCAAATTCAGGTGGAAAGGTCATATTCTGCACCACAGAGTGATTATTTTTTATTTTTCTTCTTAATATCCTTGCTACTATTTTGCAGAACTATACTTAGATTAAAGAATTTTGACTTAATATACATGTATAAACTAAAGTTCAGAATGTTACATATCTATGTTTTAGCATATTCATTGACAGTAGCATGTATCAAGCATCTGTCTTTAACTTAATAGACTGAACAACATTTTTTTTATTTATATACTGTCAAGTTATTACTGTATGTTGTTTTGATCAACTAAGCATTTTGTGTGTGTTTGTGTGTGTGTGTGTTTGTGTTGTGTGTTTGTGTTTGTGTGTGTGTGTGTGTTTGTGTTTATGTATTTATTAAACAAAGTTAAACAACTTAATTGTTTCTTTTTGGTTTGTTTTCTTGATGAAGAGAGTGGATGGAAGGTCCTTGGGGAACAATGGACCCAGATAAAGTTGATGGAGAAACTGGGAACTTTTGGAGAGCACTTTACAAGCTGGAGAAGCAGTTTTCTGAAGTACCAAATGCACAAAAGATTGCTGCGAGGGTAAGCTTATACTTTCTGAAAAGTTAACTAGTAAGATTTTAAGAGTTTGTGAACTTGCAGTTAAATAGGATTTTCAAAGACATTTTGAGGCCATCATACTTATTTGACCAAAAGTAAGGAAGAGTACAACATTTTAACTGTGTGGGGTACAGTATTTGAAGTTTCTGTGGTAATTTTGTGGCTTGCAAAGGTCTTTGTAACCAAACCTATCTTTCATTTTTAAAGACTCGTTTAATTTATCAATCAAAAGAAAAAGCTGGAATCAATGATAAGCTCTATTAAAGCACAATTTTCAATTGAGTATCCATATACCTCATAAGTCTTTCTGCACAGCATTTAATTGACATGTCCCGAAGGTCACGTCAGTGTAACTAACTGAAGGTTACACTTTATTATTTTTATTTTTTTGTGAAAACAGATGAAGGGAAAAGTGGATGAGTTTAAAGAACACCTTCCCCTAGTACAGGTTTTGTTCAATCCTGGCCTTCGAGACAGACATTGGGAAATGATGTCAGAAATTCTTGGTTATCCACTCAAGCCTGACGAAGATACTAACCTTGCTAAGATGGTAGAGATGAACCTTGAGCCATACTTGTCTCAGTTTGAGACTATTAGTGAGGCAGCTAGCAAAGAGTTCTCCCTTGAAAAAGCTATGGAAAAGATGGTTCGTGAATGGGATGAGGTATGTGACTATACTGCGTAGATTTTTTTGACAGTACCTTTACTTTAGTAATTGCATTCTATTTAGCACTTTGTTATTCAATTCCAGTATTGTGTCTAATTAATTAAAAATTGTTGCAAAATGATCTTCCAAAGTGATGAAGATCAAGTCCTCCTCAAAAATCTTTATGGAATTTACCTTCCTTTATAGTTCTCTTAAACTAATAAAGAATTTAAGACATTTACAATACACTTTAGATACCATACATCATGGCCATCATTAAGGTTGATGAACAAGTGATGGTAATTATCACCATTGCCACCTTCCTTAGTGTCACTAATTTGTCCCTAGTCACCGTAACAAAATTATTTATCATTTGTCCTATGTACAATTTTTCTTTTGGATATATCAACAAAGTTGAAATGGTAAATTAGCCACCGTAATGATTACAAAAGCTGACGTTTCGAGCGTTAACCCTTTGTTGGATCCAAATTATTTCATTACTCCCACTGACGCAGCCCCAAACAGTTTCTTTCAAAACTATCAGCCTTTATACAATTTTTCTTGTCAAGCATCTGAGACTTAATTGTAATTAACATTATATTATTATAATGGCAGTTATAATCACTTTTGTCCTAAGATAATTTGTTTTTGGGCTTTTAGATTGAGTTTGTCATGATTCCTTACCGTGAAACTGGCACTCATATTTTGTCATCAATTGATGACATTCAGACTCTGTTGGATGATCAAATTGTGAAAACACAGACAATGAGAGGTTCACCATTTATTAAACCATTTGAGACAGAGATCAAGTATGTGGACAATCCTCAACATTTTTAACTTTTTAGTTCATTTTGGTGTTTCATAAGGTTCAAACAGAGTTACCCACTCAGATTTAATAACTTAAGTGTGTTGTTTTCCATGTCACTTTGGTGTGCATCAACAGTAATTTTTTAAATTTTTAGTGTTGGATATTTTACTAATACAAGGGTTACAACAGGTAGCAAGTGGGTGATGGTCATGTTATCAATATTTATGCATTGCACTTATTGATGACTTTGTTTAGAACCTAAAAAGTAAGCAAAAAGATTTTGACATGACAGCGCACAAAATTTATACCCATTGCACAACACTAAGAGGGAAGCCTTTATTTCCTCCCTTCCCCTGCTGCAACTTTGCTATTACTGCAAACTATAAAGTCAATGTGTTGCACAGCAGTTACCGTGTTGTTTGGTCACTTTCTTGACATGATAACTTTGTAGGGCCTGATGAAAGGTTACAGTTTAAGATGCAGAGAGACACAAAACAGAAATCTGCTTTAGTGATCAAAATACAATTCATTCAAATGTTTCTTTCTGTTTGATATTTAGGGAATGGGAAAGCAAACTAATGCTGACACAAGAAATCATTGATGAATGGCTGAAGGTGCAGGCCACATGGCTGTACTTAGAACCCATCTTTAGTTCCCCTGACATCATGGCCCAGATGCCAGAGGAGGGAAGGTCAGTAATGCTGTTTTGGTCATTGTTTTATTAAATGTATATCCTGCTTAACAGCTTCTATTTTGATCTTGTTTAACATGCAGGCGGTTCAGCACTGTTGACAAGAACTGGAGAGAGATCATGAAAGTGGCCGTCTTGGTGAGTTTAATAAACTGTCCCATCCATAGCTTTTGTAAAACACGTCTCAAGAAATGTCTTTGTTAAGCATATGGGGCCATTTTATTGTAACACCTTGTCTGAATTGTTTTCTTTCTTGCATCTGTCTGGCATTTTTTCCATAGGATCGCCATGTTCTCACTGTGGTGGCCATTGAAAAGATGTTGGAACGTTTGAAGAAATCTAATGAATTGTTGGAACTCATTTTGAAGGTTTGCTTGTATAGAATTTTTCATATCACAATTAATGTACTTGTGACCTGAAAAGAAGCAATTTTGTGGACATACGTTATTTCATTTTACTCTTACATACTTTACATAGTCTTTGTCGAGGATATGAAATAATCTAACTATATATATACATCCTTATACTCTTTTCAGGGACTAAATGAGTACCTGGAAAAGAAGAGACTCTACTTTCCACGCTTCTTCTTTTTGTCAAATGATGAGCTTTTGGAAATTCTGTCTGAGACAAAAGATCCAAAGAGGTTTGAAACCGTGTGTTAAGAGTAATATTTACTTATTGATATCTCATTTCTTGCCTTGTAGTCCCTCATAGTTTATCTGATCAACATAAAAGTTGCAAAATGTTTATCCTGAATTGAATGCAGTAATGCAGTGAATGTGATATTTTTTACTAATTTTTGTCCATGAAATCTAGGAAGAGAAAGACCCAAGATGACCCTAGACATTATCTAGCAATTTTAAAAACCTTACAAAGAAAATAATTATGAGCCTACAATGAGGTTGACACCCATGCACTTGTTGAAGGCCCTGAAAACTTCAATTTTGTTAAACCCACCAGTAGCTACATGTACAAAGTTGGTATTATGTACAATCACTATCCTGTTAATTTAAGATAGGAAACAAAATACTGTATTGGTGAACTGCATTGATTATTCATCCCGTATATTTTTCTGGGTATTTCATAGTAAATCATTGTCAACAAGTACATTGTACATTTTTACCCAGTTTTCTCCTAAAAGGAGCTACATGCCCAAAGATAGCTGAATTTTCATAGAGCATTTTGTCACTTGAAAAATGATAACCACATTTCAATGTTATCACTCCTTAACACAGGCAAACAGTATAGGTAACTTATGATCCTTAATTATTTATTAATTAGAGTGCAACCACATCTTAAGAAGTGCTTTGAAGGAATTGCATCTCTGGAATTCACAGACACATTGGACATAACCAGTATGAAGAGTTCTGAAGGTGAAATTGTGCCCCTCAAAGATGTAATCTCTACATCAAAAGCAAGAGGACAAGTAGAGAAATGGCTGCTGGAGCTTCAGGAGGACATGATTGCTAGTATCAGAAAGGTAACTAGAAACAAATAAGACTATTGGTTTGACAGTCATGAAATACTTGTTTTAATCATCACTCTCATTCTGTTTACACAATTATTCCTTATACTGTTGTATCTATATTTCTCTGACTGTTGTATCTATATTTCTCTGACTGTTGTATCGATATTTCTCTGACTGTTGTATCTATATTTCTGTGACTGTTGTATCTATATTTCTCTGGCTGTTGTATCTATATTTCTCTGGCTGTTGTATCTATATTTCTCTGACTGATGTATCGATATTTCTCTGGCTGTTGTATCTATATTTCTCTGACTGTTGTATCGATATTTCTCTGACTGATGTATCTATATTTCTCTGACTGTTGTATCTATATTTTCCAGGTCATCATGGAAGCAAAAGAGGCTTATGAAAAGACAGAAAGAGTTAAATGGGTGAGGGCATGGCCAGGACAAACAGTTCTCTGTGTTTCGCAGTTGTACTGGACACTGGAGATACATAAAGCAATCAAGGGTGGAGCCAGTGTAAGTTATTTGTTTTCGCATGGCAGGGGCTGTAATTTACATAGATGTAATTTTCCTTTGTTGTGAGTTTGCTATTTACAATCTGTGTTGATATGAATCATCTGAAAAGTTTTTTTTTATTTTTTTAAACATTTTTTATTGTTTTCTCCAAAAGCACCTAGGCTAACAGGGGGGATTACAATATTAAAAATTTGAAAACCAATTTGTCCAGGTTCACACCTAAACAGACACACATTAAACAACACAAGTTTTTTTAAGTGGTTACTGCTTGTGCCTTTGCCTACCTAAGCAAATGGTTTGTTCTAGGTTTTATATGATTAAAACATGTCAAAAAAGCTGGACTTTTTCGATGATTGTAAATCTTGTTGAGAGAAATAAAGTTGTTTTTAAGGCTAACAAAAATGTATCATGTCTCATCAGAAGTAGATGGCTGCCTATAGACCCATCATGATTCTTTATACAGATATACATATACAATTTCTTCAATTTGTGATGTGTGTAATTGTTAACTTGTGCACTTTCATTGAACTGATAACGGTTTATTCACAGTATATCCACATAAAAGGTGTGGCTTTTCGTCTGTGAAAGCCTACGATACTAATATTTAATATTAAAACTAAATTATAATGACTAAATTGTAATAAAAACTATACATGAAAGTAAATATGTAGAATATATTGGTTGGTGGTGGTGGTTAATTGTTTCTATATCTTTACAAGGAAGACAAAGTGCACGCCTTTAAGAATGCCTTGCAGAGCCTGCAGTATAATTCTTTAAAATCTGTGCAATTCCTTATTATTTGCTGGCAATTCGTTAAAAATCATGGCTGCTGAATGCTGAAAGGTGCCTTGTACAAATGGAACATAAAGCCTTGGAGTAACACTGGAACGGAGATGCCTAATGGGTTTAACAACTTGCAAATTTAAATGGGAGGGCTAGTTATCAGAATACAGTGCTTTTAAAATAGTCTTTAGTAGCAAGTAGTCTCTTAGCTCCAGGATAGGTAGCTAGCCAAGATCCAAAATGGTAGATATACTGTTTACATATTTACAAGTGATGAAACTAGCCATAGCCAACTGGAGCCTTTGTAGTCTAGCTGAGAGGAACTTTGGTAGTGGATAAAAAACAGTGTCACAGTAGCTTATTTTAGACAGAATTAATGTTTCTACCAAATGTTTCTGTAGTTTAGAATTAGTAAAGTTCCTTATTTTTCTTGAGGTTCTCAGAGTAGTAACTGAGTGATAAATATATAAGTGTGGGTATTATTGTTTTGTTTTCCAGGCTCTAAATGATTACCTTCAGCTTAACAACAGCCAGATTGAAGACATTGTGGCCTTGGTGCGAGGCAAATTGTCCAAGCAGAACAGAGCTACTTTAGGTGCCTTAGTGGTACTGGATGTACATGCCAGAGATGTCCTTGCTAAACTTTGTGAACTGGGTAAGACAGTTATATCACTCACAATAATGAGCTTGCTGGGGATTTCTCTACATTTTCCTATCCTTTAAGAAGAAGTTACTTGGTAAATATTCATAGCAAGAAGGCAATAGATTATACTCTGGTTTCTAATTTTCAGACCAATAAGCCCTCTCCAAATTACCTGTGGCCTCTTTTTCAAAACAAGGCCTTATGTTAATTCAATCATTTGTATGAAAATCATTTGAAAGGACGAGCACTAGGAATTGCTTCCAAAAAGAGACTAAAGGTAATTTGGAAATGCGCAATTTGTTTTTTCTTTTTGTCAGATATTATCATAATCTGAAACAAATTAAGGTTCTCATAAATCTGACTAGTTTGAATCCTCTGAACCATCAAAAAGTTAAAGCCAAATGTGTGCGCATCAGCTTACTGACATTTCTCAGCAGGAATTCTAAGGGAATGTAGCCACCTGTCCGATTCAGTTACTTTTTTTTTTCATTGATATCATTTTTCTTTAACCCTTTTACTCTCAGGAGTTACCATCGAATACTGAATCTCTCCTTACAATATCCACACACTGTTAAGCAGAAAGGTAACAAGGAGAGGTAAAAATATCAACAAGCGCCGGGATAGTGCTTGACTTAACATAAAATCATTACTTAGACATTGAAAGTGAAAGGGTTAATTTCCTTTTTTTTTGGGTGGTTTTAGGAATCCAGAGAGAAGATGATTTTGAGTGGTTGGCACAACTGAGATACTACATAGAGGTGCAGTTTAACTATTGTGTATATACAACTCTGCCTGTCGCATGGCATTAAAATATTCCCAGGAATTTTGTTTTTAACGTAGTTTACTGCGTTGTACTTTTCAGGAAGAGAACATAATGACAAGGATGATAAGTGCCCAGTTAGCTTATGGTTATGAGTACCTTGGTAACTCTGGACGTCTTGTTATCACTCCTTTAACGGACAGATGTTACAGGTAAGCTGACAGAACGCTATCTTAATTTAATTTTGTTTTTCTCACAATGGATGCTGAATTCGCCACAAATGTCAGAGATTATCTTAATCTCTCCAGCATAGAGCAGCTGGGAATTTTGCACCTCCTCATAGACGGGATTCTTGCCCATTGCAGGTTATCCTGCATCATAATAATACGTGTAACCTTCTCTGACGGTTCGTGAACACCAATGAAACATTTTCCTGGGTTGAGAGAGACACTGTCAAGTGATTGTCGTTTCTAAAACCACCAAAGCAATGAGCGTGGCCAGTCCTCGAATGCTAACTGCTTGACACAGGGTCTTATTTACTCATTGTCAGCGTGCAATACAATCTGGCAATACATTCATCTCGCTATTACCAACTCTTAATACTTGTTATGCTCTACCTCCTAGGACTCTGTTTGGAGCTCTACAGCTACACTTGGGAGGTGCTCCTGAGGGTCCTGCTGGAACAGGCAAGACTGAAACAACCAAAGATTTAGCCAAAGCTGTGGCTAAACAATGTGTTGTGTTTAACTGCTCTGATGGACTGGACTACATTGCCCTTGGAAAATTCTTCAAGGTTGGGATACCCTCATATTTACTTCTTCATCTATACTATTAACAAAAACAAAAAGCAATTTATTGTTTGAAAGTTGTTTCCATAAGTTATTTGTTTGAACTCTGAAAACTTTTGAACGCGTGAAACAATCAATACAATGTAGTTTTCCTTACATGAACTGATAGTTACGACAGGGACATAAAGACAGCAGAGTGACAATAACTCTCAAAAAAGAAACGAAAACTTTGAGTTTAAATTTACAAGACATGTTTCGACATTCCCATGTCATCTTCAGTTGCAAATGAGCTTTCAACAGTTGTACATTTGAATTTATATAAAGGTACGTTATAAATTACGTGTCAGGGCTTACATTACAATTTGAATATTAAATACGCGAAAAATGTAAATAGCGCGCGTTTGACTAGATCAAATAATAATAATAGTAATAAAAGACCAAGGACCAACATAATTAAAAGGAAAGAGACAATTCTAGATGCTTCAATTCCTGATTAAGAATGGGTTTTTCCCACTTAATATGCAATGCCTCTTTGATCTTAATTTGGTATTTTGAAGCGGCAGAATCTAAGATCGTGAAACATTCTGTATCACAAGAATCAAGACTGGCCCTTGATGATTGCAGTTGCTTGTAAATATGCGAAGTTTTGTCCGACAAGAGGTGCTCACGAACTCGTGTACAAATGTGGCGAGTACCGCTTTGTCTACGTTCGCGTGTCGTTTATAAATTTTCGTGTGCTTGCAGTAATGTCAGTTATAGTGGTGAGACCACTCGCCAAATCTCTAAACCAGAGTAGCATTAAACCGAGTCTGATTGTCCACCTGGTTGCTGTGTGAACTTAAATATATCTTAGTTTGCACTTCGTTTTTAGTAAAAGATTCTTGCAAAGATCGTCTACATTCCGCCTCCAGGTTAGCTCAATTGGTTAGACCGCTGGACTGTTGTGCGGGGGGAGGTGGAGGGTTCGAACCGTAGGTCCCGTCTCCTGCACCTTTAATTAGATAATTTGATTAGGAAGTGGACGTTAAAGAACGCACATCACGAGATTACTGTGATATGGTCTGGCCTGGTTACTGGGGGAGGGGGCATCTGTAAAAAAATTCGCCTTTGTTGATTGTAAACTGCCACTGGCAGTCTGGTAAAGTCCCCTGCACAATATTGTAAAGCGCCATGAGCTCAGGATATGAGCGCTATGTAAATAAAAGTTATTATTATTATGCAGTATACACGTTTGGATGCTAGTGAGCTAAGCATAATTATTATTATTATTATTATTATTATTATTATTATTATTATTATTATTATTATTACCTGGTTTGACCATCTGAAGGAAAGTTTATCTGATAAAGTTCAATTCAAACTGACTAAAATGAGACACACATGATTCCCTGTTTACTCTGAGTTTTGTGCTTTCGCACTGGTCAGACAGATTTAATGGAAAACATTCCAGTGGGCTAATTCATATACGCTGATCTACATTCAAAAGGGTAGGTGCTGATTGCAATAGGTTGTTGTTATATAATATGCACAATAGGTGAGAAAAAGCGAAAATTACAGTTAATGTGGATATATAAAGGATAATGAGACAATGGGTGTGAGTGTTTTAGCAAAAGTTTATTGTATCAGGGGAGCATAAAGAACAGGTAAGGCTCCCCTGCTACAATAAACTTTTGCTATTACACTCACACCCATTCTCATTATCCTTTATATATCCACATTAACTGTAATTTTNGTTGTATAGCTCCATATCTGTGGAATCAGCTTCCGGACACCATATGGCAAGCACTGTCACTTGTGACATTTAAATCCAACCTGAAGACTCAGTTATTTGATAAGTCTTTATTTAGTCATTAGGTTTTTGCTTAATACTTTTAATAAGTTGTTTTTGTCATCTTTATCTTATTTCTTATCCATAGAGCTGCACAGTGCTCTGAACTCTAGCATGGCTGCTATAAAAGTCTTGTATTATTATTATTATTATTATTATTATTATTATTATTATTATTATTATTATTATTATTCCTAGCGGCAATCGCTACGATCGCATCAGAAATGAAAGAAACCTTTGTTTCCTATGACACGCGCTTAGAGCCTGTTCAGTTTGGAGTTACAGTCATCGTAAAAAAGAAAAAAAAAAGGAAAAAGAAAAGGAGGTGCAGTCGTAATCGATATTCTAACCGATGGTAAATGTATTTCGACTCGCAGGGTCTGGCATCGTGTGGAGCGTGGTCTTGCTTTGATGAATTCAACCGAATTGACTTGGAGGTGTTGTCTGTGGTGGCTCAGCAGATTCTAACCATTCAAATGGGTATAATAAAGTTAGCGTTTTTGTGAATCTGAAGCTTTCATTTTTATGGTGAAACTAGATGACATTTGTTTGTTACCAGGTATCAACTCAGGGTCAGATACCCTGCTTTTTGAGGGAACAGAAATTAAATTGGATCCATCCTGTGCCACATTCATTACGATGAATCCAGGGTATGCCGGCAGGTCTGAGCTTCCAGACAACCTCAAGGTATTGCTGATTTTTTAAGATGAACACTGCTATGTTTTCGTTTTCCTTTCCTCTGACTGTTTACTACTGCTTTGGTTTCCAGGCTTTGTTTAGAACAGTCGCCATGATGGTCCCTGATTATGCCCTGATTGCTGAAATATCACTGTATTCCTACGGTTTTGTGAATGTAAGTGGAACTACCGATTGCTTTGCGTACTTGCACTGTTTAATTTGTGTTTGACTTGTCATTCCAAATCATCGAGTTTGTTATTAATTAGGCTCGTCCCCTGGCTGTGAAAATTGTCACCACCTACACACTGTGTTCCGAGCAGCTGTCGTCACAGCATCACTATGACTACGGCATGAGAGCTGTCAAGTCTGTGCTAACTGCTGCAGGAAACTTAAAGGTAATGAAGTGATGAAGTGAGTTAATTCCCTTTTTGCCTTGAGGCAATCTATTTTAGTATGCATTACTTCATCATGAGGAGTTTAATTCTCTTTTTTTCTTCCTGCAGTTGAGTTTAATTCGTTTTTGTTCCTCCTGCAGTTGAAATATCCCGAGGAAAATGAAGACATATTGATGTTGCGCTCCATCAATGATGTTAACTTACCCAAATTCTTGGCTCACGACCTGCCACTATTTGAAGTAAGTTATTCACAACAGCATATTTATTTTTCTGTTTGACATGGAGGTCTAGGACTTATTTGCTTCTATTTTTTCTTACGTAGGGAATCACTTCTGATTTGTTCCCTGGTGTCAAACTGCCCAAGCCTGATTACACGATTCTGACAAATGCTGTTCAAGAAAACTGTAAAGCGATGAATCTACAGATGGTAGACCAGTTCCTTACCAAGATCATACAGGTTAGTTGTAACCTGCAACATACTATAACCAGTGTTTGGGTGGTCTTTATGAAACAACTGAGATATCACGAGTGCTCCTGAAAAGAAAAGAATATCATTCATTGACCAGTAAACCCGTGGTTATTTTATAAAAGCAGTAGACAACACTTTCCATCGATTTACCTGCGTAATAACCCTCTCATGATGTTTAGAGAACACTCCAAAAGTTTGTAAATCCCTCGCCTCTAGCTCGTGATTTACGAACTTTTCTCGTGTTCTCGTAACCGACGGAAAGTGTGGTTTATTGCTTAATTGTCGTAAGCACTTGTAATATGAGCAAACAGTTTTTGATCAGTAGCATCAGTAGCTACTGTGTAGGAACTGTGTAAATTATTTGGCAACTGTTTCTTTCTAGCGACTCATTTATTAATATACTACTTGACCTAATATCTTCATACATTTATTGACGACTCTAAATTTCGATGCACCTATGTCATCCATTTTAGCTTTTCCTTTCAATTGATAGACAAGAATTGCCGTTATAAAATAGTCACCTACAAGCTGTAATTATCAACTAACCAACCGACAAGCTTGCACAATATATCTTAGTTCATTCCAAGTGTTCCTTTTCAAAACGTACTAATGCATTCTTATCTGACATATTTGTCGTATGGGCTATGTCGAATACAAATTTGTCTTTGGTGGCCGAATAGGGCAAAATGTACAGCTGCTAGAAGTGCTATTCCTCTTGAAACATTTAACGTTTCATGGTGCATTTACTTGCAGATCTACGAAATGATGATTGTGCGTCATGGCTTCATGATTGTAGGTGAACCATTTGGCGGCAAGACTTGTGCTTATCGTGTGTTGGCTCGTGCCTTGAGTGATGTGGCAGAACAAGGGTTGATGGAGGAAAATAAAGTGCAGACTGTGGTTATCAACCCTAAAGCTATCACTATGGGTCAGCTGTATGGACAGTTTGACCCAGTCTCCCATGAATGGTCAGATGGTGTCTTAGCTGTTAATTACAGAGGGTTTGCTTCCTCAACAGTAAGTACTTTGTGAACTTGTCCAAATCATGCGCCAGCCCAAATTCAAATTTCCGTTATCGAAAGATGATTCAATAGAAAATTAAATCGTGGTCGCAGAAGAGATTGCTGAAAATCTTAACATGATAGGAGTCGTGCTATCAGGTAAATCACGTTCTGGGATGGCTCATATTACTGACGATTGAATTGCTGGTAGTGTAATGTATGCTCTACCCGAAACCCCCTACAAATGTGTGCTGACTTATCAAGTTTGATTTCACGATTTTATGGCTTAAACAGGTGCAGGATGGGTGCAACTCTTTAAGATAGCAAAATTAAGGATGCTTAATTTAGTGGTGCTATTTTGGAGATAAATCTCTACTTCTGATTTTGAAAATCTTCTGAATGCACCGTTATTTAGTAATGACACTTCTGTGAAAGGAAATCGTGATAATGATGACTTTTCAGAATAAATGATAGTGTTACTGATGAAGTGTTCATATTTTAAGTGGCAAGGTTTTGTTTGACAGACTCCAGACCGTAAGTGGTTGATTTTTGACGGACCTGTTGATGCCGTGTGGATTGAAAACATGAACACTGTACTGGATGACAACAAAAAGGTAAACGTGTTTCGAAAGTATTTTTTATTCCTTTCTTTGCATACAAACTTGTTCATTCTTTGATGCGACAAAACAATCAACATGGGTATTAAGACAACATATCGCTGTGATTTAAAATCGTTTACATTTGAATGTTGTTTTATTCCGCTAGCTTTGCCTTAACAGTGGTGAAATTATCCAGCTTGCTCCTACTACTAACTTGATCTTTGAGCCGATGGATTTGGAGGTCGCCTCACCAGCTACCGTAAGTAATGTGTGCAAACGTTTAGATTCTGCTTGCTATGTGCGAAAAATGAAAAATGTCTGAGCATGTGCAACCTTAGCTCGCGTTATACTAGCTACGCATTCCGGTTGGTTCGGCTTGCTCGAGCTCCAGAGTGGACCTACTTTTGCGTCTTGGATGAAAATAAATGAGGAGAATGTGCTGCCTTTGTGGTGAAATCGACATTGTTTGAATGTCTTAACATTCTTGTCCTCTCGGATGATGGCAATAAACCGTTGTCCCCGTCTCTTGTACATGTGTCTTCAATCTGCGTCAAAATTAGTGGACACATTTTTGATGAGTTCTATTTATGTAAAGAATAACAGTCCTGTTTCTACCACACTCTAAGTCATTAACAGACCACCTCCCTCATTCATTGTTGGCTACAAGTTCATGGAATCACGATACAGCATTGTTTTGGGGGGCAAAGGGGGTGAAATGGTTAACTTAACGAGGGTAAAAGAGATAAAATTGGAGTAATTGGGGGTTGTAAAAGGTTCATGTGTCAACAATTTTGTCGCCAATTGTTAGCTGTCATCAGTCATTGCTGAAGAACTCAAAATTTGGGGCCCGTAACTCTAGTTTTTCTAACATGATAAAGGTGGGGGACGTTCCGATGAATTCGCTCCAATACAGCTGCTCTGAAGCGTTCGGGTAAGTAAAGTATTCACTCAGTCGGTCTGCTGTTCAGTCGGTCTGCTGTTCAGTCGGTCTGCTGTTCAGTCGGTCTGCTGTTCAGTCGGTAAGCCAGTCAGTCGGTAAGCCAGTCAGTCGGTAGGCCGGTCGGACGTTCAGTCAACAAGCCAGTCGGTCTTAGAAAGCGCTGGGGACTCCCCTTATATCATGGTTTTTGGGTTGTAAAAACAACCGTTTCCTGTGTATTTCCAGGTGAGTCGTTGTGGTATGATTTACATGGAGCCTCACATGCTCGGATGGAAACCGCTACTTGTATCGTGGCTCAGTACTCTTCCCAAAACTCTGAATGAGGAAAACTTGGAACTTATTAAAGACCTGTTTGACAGGATGGAGGAAGCGCTGCTGCAGTTTGCTCGCAAAGGAGGCTTCAAGGTAATGTTATTTCATTTCTGTGGTACTTCATGATGTCGATGTTACAGTTGCCAACCATGTGACAGTATAAACGTCAAATCCATGATCAGCATTAATACTGATTAACTTTTCATCTTATAGGAACTGTCTCCTACAACAGACAGTAACATGGTGAAGTCCCACATGAACCTGATGGACACCATGATGGACGAGTTCCATGATGAACAGAAGTTTAAGGAGCTCAACGAGAGAGAAGTCGCAGCTTGGCTTGAGGTAATTATCTCTCTCCTTTAGTTCTCTTCATAGCCTTGATGGCCGTTATGTTTTCTGATCTTGTTCTTTTTGTTTTTGTCCCCATAAGTGTATCTTCCTCTTTTCTTGTGTTTGGTCTCTCGGTGCTTCTATCGATGCTCGCGGAAGAAAGGATTTCGACAAGATACTCCGAGAAATCGTGGAGGTAAATGTTATGTATTCAGGCTGTTGGAGCTTCTTGACTTTTTAGTTATGCAGGTCAATCTGGCCAGATAAACGCACACGAATTCTCACAATCAGGAGTCTGCTTATCGTTGTATTAAGAGTGATGCTGCCGCTTAAATATTCGGCTTCGAAAAATGTTTTACCTAACTTATCTTGTCTGAAGAGGCTCCGATAACATTGTTGTGGAGCCGTTTCACCCACTCATTCGTTCACTTCATTTTCCGTCACCTCCCCCTCTCTGATTGAAGGAGGGTCGTGTTAGGGTGTAACGTGTTCCAGGTGTTCGAGAAATACAGTGCCTCGGATAAGGTAGAGTCTTGTAAAGTGAAAAGCATGACTGAGTTGCTCGTTGTGACGTCTTTTTCGCGTACTATTCATGGTCCGTAACCTTTTCCTACAGCGGTAATCTTTCTGTGTTGGTTTGTAGGGTCCTTTATCCCTGGAGAGTAAAAGTAAGTATCACATCCTAGAGATTGTGGATCCTCCACCGCGACCATTCCTTTGTCCCTTCCCAAGCAAAGGGACTGTGTATGACTACCGATTCGTCAAAGAGGTAACTTCATTTCAGTCATTTTATGTCAGTTTACAGTGGCTGTGCTTTCTTCGTGCAATTTCGTCTTTCTTCGCGTGCTTTCTTCACGTTCAATTTCATCTTTAGGGAATGGGCAAGTGGGAACTTTGGACTGAAGAAATCAAGGATGCTCCTGCTATTCCCAAGGTATCTTGCGATGGATTACTTCTCTCTGAGGCCTTAGATTAAATTTAGATTTGCCATAACATGTTTTGATTATCCTACATCGACATTTTATTTGAGATAGTGAGGTACGGTTCAATCGGCTCACTTGATTGTATTGCACATTGTTAGTTTGAACAAGCGGAGGCAAGAGCCAGCGGATTAATAAAAAAAGCCTTTCTGCGCCTGAGATATTGTATATGAAGATACGTTCAGATTTGGTTTTTGTAGCACAGGCTTCATGACGAGCGGCTTCATGACTAGCGGCACCATGTGAAACCACCAGTTTAGAAAAGCGTTTTAGAACAATCACGATATGGTTCAATTTTTGTCATGAAATTCATCAAATTGAACTTCCTTATAATTGTAGATAGCCACTCAAACAAGGAGTTGCATGCGTAGTTACTTACATGCTAATCTCTGATTGCGACATGACTCGCATAAATGTAAAGAAATACTCAATACAAGCATCTCTAACCAATTTTTTCCAGGAAATGGCTTTTAACGAGATCATTGTACCAACTGTGGATACTGTGCGGTACACTTTCCTTATGGAAAAGCTTGTGTCCCATCAGAAGTCTTGTCTGTTTGTTGGGCCCACAGGAACTGGGAAATCTGTCTACATTACGGTCAGTCCTGTTATTATTAAACGTTACAATCTCCAAAATGGAAGTGTTACTTGACGTGGATTCAGTGAATTGGGTACAAAGTAATAGCAAATTGTTATCAGAGATTAATAGGTGAACTCCGCAAAAAAACTTCCGGAGAGCTCTGATTTAGAAGGCCTTGTTGCTCTCTCTTCTCAGTCTTGTAGACTTTGTAATTCTGATTTCCAATAACGCACAATTTTATGATGTACTGATAACTGTGGTAATATGGTTTTTTTTGTTTCAACAGAACTTTTTATTGAAGAACCTTCCGGACACATACAAACCTTTGCTGATAAATTTCTCAGCTCAGACCACTGCTAAACAGACGCAAGACATCATCATGTCCAAACTGGACAAGAGGCGAAAAGGAGTGTTTGGCCCTCCCCTGGGAAAGAAAACGGTAAGTGTTATTTTGTTACTTCCTCCTTAAGTAGGTCAGTCCTGTTCGTTCACTGTTGATGAACTGAAGTCCCGCCATGGTGTGAATTACCAGAGGATTTAGAGAGACCAGAGACCGTATCTAAAGTCAAAATATCGAGGATGAAATTACCTTAACTGAGTTAAAAGTATCCAGCGCAAAATTACACCCATTTGATACACTGAGGCAAATATTCACCCGGAGACGCAACCTAAGTTGGGATATGAATAAAGGGGGAAAGTTAAAGAAACTGTGGTGGTTTGTTGTTGGGGGATTGTAACAAGGTAATTTTGGTTTTATCAACCAGGCTCCGGTTGTTCAAAGGGCTGATAACGCTATCCAACGGATAAATCGCTATCCCGCGTGCAAGTGTTACCAAAACGTACTGCGCTATCCACCGGAGAGAGATTTATCCAGTGTATAGCGTTATCCATCCTTCGAACAACCGCGGCCAGGTTGTTAATGTAAATGGCCACCGTAAAGAGTTTCAAAAGTTTTTAAGTTGGGATATGTCGAGAGTTTTATGTTACGCGACTTCGCTGGATTTTTAAAGTCCCTAGGAGATATTAAGAGAGCAACATACAAAGTGCTCAACACCACAAGGTGATCTAATTTTCTCCATCCATTATTTGGCTTCTATGCTTCCGTTCAGAAAGCCAGATTTGTTTATCATCTTATCCTTTCTTTTGTTGACCAAAGACAAGTAAGGAGGCATATTAATCTGTGATTTATTTTATAGGTGGTGTTTGTTGATGACTTAAACATGCCTGCCCGTGAAGTATATGGTGCCCAGCCTCCCATCGAACTGTTGCGACAGTGGATGGATCATTGGAACTGGTAAATAATCTTTGTTAGAATCTTTCCGTTGATCATTTTGTGATATTCAGCGGTTACTTCGTTCTATTAAGTCAATGTTTAATGTGGTTTGTTGATGTTTGTTTTTGTTACTTGCTCAGGTATGACCTCAAGGACACTTCTCCTATCCATCTGGTGGATATTCAGATGATAGGTGCCATGGGACCACCCGGAGGTGGCCGCAATCCCGTCACTCCTCGCTTCCTACGCCACTTTAACACTATCAGTATCACCATGTTTGATGACACCACCATGACCAAGATCTTCGGCAGGATCATGGAATGGCATCTTACAACAAGGTCAGTTGTACATGACGTATAACTAGTAGTATGTGACACATCTGATATGTGTACAACTTACCATCGCTCAAACGTATTCATGAAAAAAGGAATATTATAGTTTGCATAACTTTTTTTTTTTCAAGAAAAAGGTTACCCAATTGTCTATAGAACAGTGTGCACTAATGACGCGAACTGTCCTATTAGTGCCCAAGTTGGGTTGTAGATGTCTGAGCGTGTTCCATATTTTTGTTATAGTTTTCATCGTGGGTGCTATGAACTACCGGTGTTTATGTTTATTTTCATTGTATATTATATTTCAGGGGTTTTTCAAAGGATTTTATGTCCGTGGGTGACCTGCTGGTAAACAGCACGCTGGAAGTATACAAGAATGCCATGACGAATCTGCTACCCACCCCAGCCAAGTCACATTACTTGTTCAATTTAAGAGACTTCGCTCGGGTCATTCAAGGAACTCTTCTCTCCACTCCTGATATCATTGAGGATCCTGATAATCTCAAACGCCATTGGGCTCACGAGGTCTGCAATCAGTTACTACTGATAATTACTTGTCGCATGTTTATAGGAAAGCGTGATTTGAATAGACTGTTAGATTTAACAGTCGATGGACAAGGGATTAATAGCGGCTGTTTGATGTGTACTGCTAAACTTGTCCGATCAAATATGAACATATTAATTGATGTTTTGAGTCCTAGAGGAGCTCCTAGTTTATTTCCGTGCTTGTTTGTTGACAGGTCTACCGTGTGTACTATGATCGATTGGTGGACGACGGTGATAGAAAGTGGTTATTTGAGTTCCTACGTGAGATGAGTAAACCTCACTTGGGTGTGGAATTTGACAAGCTGTTTGAACGACTTGACTCCAATAATGACGGCCGTGTGGAGCAGGACGACTTAAGAAGTCTGATATACTGTGACTTTACCGACCCCAAGGCTGACCCTAAACCTTATGTGGAGGTAAAAGACTTGGATAAACTACGCACTGTGGTGGAGACATACCTAGATGAGTTCAACAACATGAGCAAGAAGCCGATGAATCTAGTGTTGTTTAGGTAAGGGTAAACATTCTGAGTTTGACTCCTGCCTTGTGGTGAGGTAATAATCATTCCTATCGTATGCTGTTTGCAGGTTTGCCATTGAACATGTTTCTCGTATTTCGCGTGTGATCAAACAGCCTCGTGGTCATTGTCTTTTGGTGGGCGTCGGCGGCAGTGGGAGACAGAGTTTGACCAGACTAGCTGCACACATGGCAGATTATGACTTGTTTCAGGTAATGATTTCTCTACTTTTTATGCTTAAAATGGCTTCACAATAACGGTCACTTACGCTACTATTGTGTGTTTGCCTTCACAGGTTGAAATTGGTAAAGGTTATACCTCAAATGAATGGCGTGAGGACTTGAAGGCGATCCTGAGAAAGAGTGCTGAAGGAGAAATGAATGGAGTGTTCTTGTTCACTGACACACAGGTAAGTAAACTATGGTAAATTTCGTCGTCTACCAGCCCTGGTACTAATCATATTATTGATAATTCACTCCCATTCAATCTCTTAAGATAAAAGAAGAATCGTTTTTGGAGGATGTAAATAATTTGTTGAACGCTGGTGAAGTACCGAACTTGTTTGCTCTGGATGAGAAACAGGAGATTTGTGAAAAGATGAGAATACTTGACAGGTAAGCGTCATTTTCCAAGATTATTTAAAAGTAAAGTTGGGATTCGAGAGAATTTCAAGAATCACATAACAATGTTTGCTTGAAAGGCTCTCGCGGTAAGATGAAATCGCCGAATGCAGCGAGCTATGCCACATGGATCCTCAATTGAACTGTCATGTAGAAGCATTTTCATTTTACGACACTCAGAAGTAAAACCTCTCCCTACATACTGATTAGACTTTTTTCTCAAAGGCAACGTGACAAGTCCAAGCAGACAGACGGCTCTCCAGTGGCTCTGTTCAATTACTTTGTTGATCGCGTCAGAGACCAGCTGCATATCGTGTTGGCCATGAGTCCTATTGGTGATGCCTTCCGAAACAGACTCCGAAAGTTTCCCTCGCTTGTCAATTGTTGTACCATTGATTGGTTTCAGGTAACTGTATCCTAAGATTTGTCTTTTACAATCGATTCTCATTAGCATATCGTAGCTAGTGGTAAACGCCTGTAACTGAAACCTGGTAAACGTAGGCTTTGGCCTAGCTTGGACCCATGCCTCTCAGATATCAGTTCGGCACTGGAAACAACTCCACTACAGATTCGCATGTTGGGAGTGAGGTACAATTATCCTTAAAAGTTGTTCTTCTAAATGAAAAGAGTTTTTGGTTTTATTTTTTGGCAATGATTAACCCTTTCACTCCCAAACTCTGATTGTCGATTCTCTCCTTTAGCTGCTTTACCCTTCTGTGTAAATTAGTGACAAGAATTTGGTGTTAGATCAAGAGACCAACTTCTTCCTTATTAGCTTGAATATTGTGACCCTTTTGCAGGATAATGCATGGATATCAATGGCAGAAGTTACATGTTAATCACTTCTGGGAGTTAAAGGGTCAAGACGTACTGAAGTGTTAAGGCTGTATGTTGCAACATAGTAACCATCAAAATCACAACATCTTTGTGAAGTCTGCATATATTTCTTGCGAGTTTGTTGCTCAATCATGCGAGCCAATTTGTTTGTTTGTTTGTTTGTTTTTTAGTCATGGCCAGACGATGCACTTCAAGTAGTAGCTCAGCGATTTTTAGAAGACCTGGAAATGGACGCTGGGGTGAGGGATGGATGTGTTGAGATGTGCAAGACTTTCCATACTGAAACAAGAAACCTTTCTAAGTCTTTCTTGGATGAACTCAAAAGGCACAATTATGTGACACCAACATCGTACTTGGAGCTTATCTCAACATTCAAGACTCTGCTGAACATGAAACAAGTGTGAGTAGCTTCATTCTTCATCTTTAGCGGATCGTTTTGATGCAACTCTGTTACAATACTTAGTCATCGTGAAATTTGAAAATTCAGAAGCCGTCCAACCTCATAACTCACAAGTCTCTAAAAAACGAACTTACAAACAAAGGACAGCAATATAAATGAACAGTAAAGGCCCCAAGGACAGTTTAAAACAGAAGAGATGAGCTCAAACTACAAACAGTTCTCTAGAAACATTCTAACCTAAATTTGAAACTTCGCAAACTTTGCCGTGACTTTGAAGTTAATGTGACGAGTCTTTTGTTGTTTAAGGGAGGTGATGAAGGCGAAGAAGAGATATGAAACTGGCTTGGAGAAACTGGCATCTGCGCAGTCACAGGTAACCGACTAGCACAGTCTTTTGGCATCTCAAAGTGACTTGATCTTATTGTGGATGTTGTTCTCTGTCAGGTGTCAGCCATGCAGGGTGAACTGGAAGCCCTCCAACCACAGCTTATTCAAGCTGGTAAGGAAGTTGATGAGATCATGGTTGTCATTGAGAAAGACTCAGTGGAGGTTGCCAAGACAGAAAAGGTGAGAAGTATAAATTGGAATGGTGTTTTTCTTGTTTTATGTTAATGTGTCTGCTGTTCTTTAAAAACGTTTCACCTCCCTTTCCTTTTTGTGTGTAGGTGGTGAAAGCGGACGAAGCAGTTGCTAACAAACAGGCTGCAGCGGCCCAAGCTATCAAGGATGACTGTGACAAGGACCTGGGTGAAGCTATTCCTATCCTAGAGGCTGCTCTTGCTGCCCTTAATACGCTGACTCCAGCCGTGGGTGCCCTTCTTTCTTGTTTCGTTTTGAAAACTATATAGCTATAATTATAATGTGTGGTAGTCGGAAAAAAAACAACTGCAGATACATCCCTACAGACCTGTTTCGTGGTTGCCCACTCATCAGGGGATTTTAATGGCAGAATAATGCGATACCATCGCTATAATTATAAATATAAATATAGCTATAGTTATAGTTATAAATGTATTGAAGGAGAGGTACACGGCTTTAGACAAAGCCCTTTGTGGCAGCCACACTTAATGTTGGTTTGAAAGATTTATGTAAAGAGGATTTGGTTGGAGGGGGGAGGGGTAGGGGGTTAGGATTGGCTTACATTGCTTCATTGGAGAAAGAAATGAAACCATGTTCGATTGAGTTAAAGAGAAATGCTTTTAAAAGGTTAAGAGTTCGAACCCAAAATAAATTTTCGGACAAATTCCTGACAACTCATTGTGCTTTCTTTGTAGGACATTACTGTAATGAAAACTATGAAGTCGCCACCAGCTGGTGTTAAACTTGTTATGGAAGCTATTTGTATCTTAAAGGGCATCAAGGCCGAACGAATCCCGGATCCCTCGGGTACAGGTAAAAAACCCATTTGTCAGTCCTAACTACTTTACAATCCTTGGATTTCCCCAGGCTCACGTAGCAAATCGTGTTTCTCTGAGTCTGTTTGATTTTTTCGTGTCTTGAGGTTATATTTGAATTGATGTTGTGCCATGTAAACAATTGAAAAACGAGTCCTGAAAGAAAAATTGTGTAATAAGATTTGAACAATGACTCGAGAACTAGACTCTAAAGGTACGTCGCTACTACGTAGTTGTGTTGGTTTACAGGATTACTCCTCAATTTGTGATGTTCGGGTTCCAACTCAGTTGAAGTGTTGTAGTTTAGTTGGCGAAACGAGACGGGCCCTGAAATAGATTTTTTGCTGCTTTTAGGGAAGAAAATCGAGGATTTCTGGGGACCTTCAAAGAAACTGCTGGGCGACATGAACTTCTTGAAAAGTTTGCAAAGCTACGACAAAGACAACATTGCACCAGCTATCATAAAGACAATCCGACAGAAGTACACCTCAAACCCTGAGTTTGATCCTGAAAACATTAAAACAGCGTCCACTGCTGCTGAGGGTCTGTGCAAGTGGGTCGTCGCCATGGAGTCCTATGACAAGTAAGTGACGTTTCTTTTTCTGTACAAATTGTAAAAATGAAAACTTGTGCATAGTATAGTAGAAATGAGAATATAAAGAGGTTTCAGTGTAATTTGAAATACTTCCACTTATAAATGACTGTAGAGTAGTCTTGAATTAAAAACTGACTAGTCTTGTTTGTACTATGCAGGGTTGCGCGGGTTGTGGCTCCTAAGAAGGCGGCACTGAAGGAGGCTGAAGCAGAGCTGTCTGTTGCTATGGAGGTAGGAGACTCTCATTTCCATTGCTTATGATTTTAGTTTTAAGCTGCCAAAGATGAGCTCGACAGGAGAGACCGAAGCTAGAATTACAAGAAAGTTTGCGAGCCGGCGTTTGAGTTCTCTGTGTCGTTATATCTGCAATTTGTATTTGGTACATTTTATCATCATTATCATCGTTATTTATAGTGGTAATGAACTGAGCCAGGTACAACTGATTCGGAAATTAAAAGTGTTTTAATGTTTTCTTATTGTCTAAGGAAAAGATGCGATTTAGTGCAAAAGTGTGGCCATTTGTAAATTTTATGCAGTGCTGAGTGCCTTCAGATTGCAAGGATGGCTAGCAATTTTAAAATACATGTGACGAGTTAGTTTATTTATTTATGCATGTATCTTTTAGTTATCCGCTGAACAGCATTAGTATCAATTGTATTGCTCACTGAATTATTTCCAATGTTTGTAACACTGCAGAGTTTGAATAAAAAGCGTGCAGCTCTTCGTGAAGTTCAGGATAAGCTGGCTCGACTGCAAGAGAAGTACGAAGCCAATGTGAAGAAGAAGGCTGATCTTGAAAAACAGGTACAAACAGCTTTCTTACGCGCATATTTATCTACTCACAGGACGCTAAGGACTTTACTGATCCTAGCAGTATGCAGGACGCTTGTCACACATCAATACCTCACTATTGAGTTTCTGTAGTGCAATTGTTAAACCGCGAAATGTAGAGGTCTTAGGCTCGAATTCTCACTGGTTACTGATACTTCTTCTTTTCCCCTCTCTGAGACTCCTTCGATTCTCCGCTAATTATGTGTTACAGGAATATTTATTTACCTCTTCTTCTGTCCTCTACTTGATTGGAGGTAACGAATTTTGCCATTGTTTCACAGGTTGACCTTTGTACCAAGAAACTTGAACGCGCAGAAAAGTTGATCGGTGGACTGGGTGGAGAAAAAACAAGGTAGTCTGTTCTCCAACCTTTTTCCTCCATGATTTTTAGCATAATCTTTTTATGGTTTCTCGGAATCTAATTCCTTTTTCAATTTTTCCTTGAAGGTGGACTGAAGTAGCGAAGCAGCTTGGTATCAAGTTTCAAAATCTGATTGGGGACGTCTTGGTATCATCCGGTGTTGTGGCGTATTTGGGCGCCTTCACGGCTGCCTTTAGACAGGAACAAACAGTTCAATGGGTCAATGCCTGTCGCAGCACTAATATACCTTGTTCTGATGACTTCTCGGTTACAGGCACGCTTGGTGACCCTGTAAAGATAAGGGACTGGAACATAGCTGGCCTGCCTACGGACAGTTTTTCTATTGAGAATGGAATCATCATCAGGTACTGTGATTTAACTCAGGCTGGTTGCCCTTCAGTTTGGATGACCTTTCATCTTCTCACTGATAGAGCATCTGTAATTACTTAGGTCGTTTGCAGTCAGCGTGTGTCTTATCCATCTTAAGCCATCCTTGTCCCCTCCTGGTTTGTTATTATTCCCTTTGTATATGTCCTTCTTTCCGAGCAAATATTTTGCTGTGCCTCTCAACTAGATAGTACTTTGGCGCTCCAACCATCGCGATGCAGCCCGTTTTATGGTAGTCATGAATTCCCAAGCGGAACATTCAAACATAAACACGCTCTTCAACGTTTCCCTCTGTAGAACTTCTATCAAATGAGATTTTGTTGTTGTTGTTGTTGTTGTTTTACAGCAATGCAAACCGGTGGCCACTGATGATCGATCCGCAGGGACAGGCGAACAAGTGGGTTAAAAACATGGAGAAGAAAAACAACTTACACGTTATTAAAATGACTGATGCTGATTACGTGAGAACACTGGAGAACTGTATCCAATTTGGCACTCCGGTAGGTTGACTTTACCTTTTGATATTTCAACAAAGATGTTTTACACCTAGATACGCAGTTTACGTTTTCTGGGAAATAGAGGTTTTTCGATTTTTCCACCAAGTTGATGAAAAGATGACAAGGATAGTCAGTGAAACCAAAGTTTATTTTTGATGTTTGCCGTTGTAATAATAGGCTTGTTTAAATGCACTGCTGATAATGAGCAGATAGTTGTTTAGTTACTTTTCTGGGAATTCCTTCATTAATGATGGTTTTGCTTTTTCAGGTTTTGTTAGAAAACGTCGGAGAGGAACTTGATGCACTATTAGAGCCGCTACTTTTAAAACAGACATTCAAACAGGGCGGCAGTATCTGTATTAAGCTTGGTGATAGTGTCATTGAATACTCCAAGGATTTCAGGTAAGTTCCGTTGGAGTCTTCTGATTGACTCATAGTGTTGATATCAGTAATAATGTTTGGTGACTGTCATTAAATCACCACCCTTGACAGAAAAAAAATTACCGAGGAAGTCTGAAGCTATCTCTTTCTGTGCTTAGTATGTAAACGAAAGTTGTTGATGGAAGAAGTGAGTACTAACTATCTGCACTAATTTCCATTTTTAAGGTTTTACATAACAACGAAGCTCAGAAACCCGCACTACCTTCCAGAGACGTCCGTCAAGGTAACCGATTAAGTAATAAAAGGCTACTTTTGCTCTTCGCATCAGAGACTTATTAACGTAAATCAAAATTTCTGTTTACTCGGAAACCTGAAGCTGCAGGTGGACGATCTGCGTTAAGAAAGAATTTCAGTTTTTTTTTACTTTCAGTTTAAAACAATTTTGCCATGGGATAATGTGGCACTTGACTTTTCAAATATCGTAACCGCTTTTATACCGTAAATACTTCCAAAAGAGTCTGACAATGTTGTTAATATAGTCTTTATGTTACAATTGTGTTTCTGTAGGTGACGCTGTTGAATTTCATGATCACACCTGAAGGACTCGAGGATCAATTGCTGGGGATTGTGGTGGCACGAGAGAGGCCTGAGCTGGAGGAAGAGAAGAATGCACTGATTATACAGAGTGCAGAAAATAAGAGGTGTGTTCACCACACCACACTAACATTTTGGTGCTGGTAATCTACCTACCTCTTAACCTTGATTCTCTCTTAAAACAGACAACTGAAAGAGATCGAGGACAAGATTTTGGAAGTGCTGTCCTCATCTGAAGGAAACATCTTAGAAGACGAGACTGCTATTAACGTTTTGTCCTCATCCAAGGTGTTGGCAAATGAAATCTCCGAAAAACAGGTCAGTCGACTTTCCTTCTGGTTTTTTTTTGTTTTTTTTGTTTTTTGTTTTTTGTTTTTTTTCTGTGTGTGTGTGTGTGTGTGTGTGTCCATCTGCTTGTCTTTATTTCTGTCCTTTTCATTTATCGTAGTCTGTCTGTTAACCTGAATGTCTGTGTGTCTGTCTTCATCTTACTTTACTCATTGTTTTCTGCAAACTTACCGTTATCGCCCCGATTCTTAATTATGGTCGATCGCGATGCTTTTTATGATTTGAGATTTTATCTGTTGGTGTTAGGCCATAGCAGAAGAAACAGAGAAGAAGATTGACAACACACGTATGGGTTACACGCCTATCGCTACTCACTCAGCAGTGCTGTTTTTCTCCATTGCTGACCTGGCCAACATTGAACCTATGTACCAGTACTCTCTAACCTGGTTCATCAATCTGTTCATCATGTCTATTGACAATTCTGAAAAATCAGAAGTATTGGAACAACGGTAAGAAAAAACGTGCCTTTTCCTTTTAACCTTGCCACGCGTCAGATGCCCGGCTGGTTCCTCGGTTAGCACTTCATATTTCTGAGCAGACTTTGAGACCCTTTCTGATACGGAATCTGTTCTGTGTACGCAAAATGCTTCACTCAAGCCCCTTTGTACTGATTATTAGCTACAACTGATCATGGCTGTTTTCCATCTGCAGGCTGGAGAATCTAACAAATCACTTTACATATTCTCTTTACTGCAATGTGTGCCGATCACTGTTTGAAAAGGATAAGGTGACAGAATTTTGAATGTCTTACCGTATGTTTTAACGTATGTTATAAATATTCCATTTTCATTGATGATAATCGTGAACTTCCAGAACGTATTTCAGCTCTTTATTTTTTAATTATTCCAGCCGGCCAGCTAATGTTATAGCCAACCTTGTTTTACAGCTGCTGTTCTCGTTCCTGTTGTGTGTTAACTTACTGAAAGGCAAAGGAGAAGTATGTGATAATGAATGGCGTTTCCTTCTGACTGGCGGAGTGGGCCTGGACAATCCTCATTCAAATCCGTCCACTTGGCTTCCCTCGCGGTCCTGGGACGAGCTGTGTAGACTGGATGACTTATCATTGTACGTTGCCATATACAGAGCTCTGCAAATTTTTCTTTGACTATACTTGCCCCGCGCTGAATTAAGCGAATCACTTAAACTTTCTCTTTGTTATTATAGGTTCAAAGGATTCCGACACAAGTTTCCCAAACACTTAGAAGGATGGAAAAAGATTTACGACAGCAATGTAAGCGATCGCTGTTTGTCTTAAGTTTCTGTTATTTGACCAGTTCAAAAACATCAGGTGTATTGTTTATGTTCAGTTTTCAGAATTGGACAGTGAGGGCCGGGTTTTTTTTGTTAGCTTTTGAGCTAATTTGGGAAATACACAGCAAACTTCCCTGGTTTTGTTTTTGTAAACGTTGCTTTTATTTTTATTCGTTTGTCACTTTCTGTATTTGTTTTGTGTCTTTTTTTATAAAAGAGCTCTGACTGTTTTCTCGCTTTTACTCACTGTTGCGATACTTTGCTTTCGCCCCTTATAACAGGAGCCACAAAATGAGCCTTTACCAGGAGATTGGAATGAGAAACTTGGCCAGTTCCAAAAAATGGTTATCCTGCGCTGTCTCCGACCGGACAAGGTCTGCTATTGCATTGAATATCGACAACGTTTACCGCATTTATTTTTATTGTTATCATGATAATATATTGAGATATTTTCTTAACTTTGCATTTTTTTTCCTTACCGGTTTTCAGATGACGCCTGCAGTCCAAGATTTTGTTACCGCTAAACTTGGCAAGCGTTTCATTGAGCCGCCACCATTTGACCTGGCTAAGGCTTTTGCCGATTCTAACTGCTGTGCGCCGCTCATCTTCGTGTTGTCTCCTGGCTCTGATCCCACAGCCGCCCTACTTAAGTTTGCTGACGATCAGGTAGAAAATAACGAAAGCTTCAGTCTTGAATCCTTTCATTGCTTAGTTTACCATGCTGAACAGTACAGTGAAGTTTACAGTTTACAAGACGAATAGATTCCTTTATTTTTCACTGAACATTCCATCGCCCTAGCGTAATTGTGATGAGACACAACCAAATAATCAGACATCCCTCCCTCCCTCAGGGATATATTGTCTTCGCTTTCTTACGGAGTACTTCAGTCTCTCGTCTATTCTATAGCTGTTGCCGTTGATGTTATAAAATGGCCTCAGAAAGTCATTTCCAAAAGCCAGCATAAAGAACGATTTATAGTTAACAGAGTTGATCGGCAACGCGGTTAAGACGGTTGCATGAAGTGCTATCTGGTTACAAGTGTGTGCGAGGTGAGATTCTACATTATAGTTATCACTGGGGGCTAATTCATTTCGTCTGTCATGTTAGGGCTTTAGTGGATCCAAGTTGAGTTCTTTATCACTTGGTCAAGGCCAGGGTCCAATTGCCATGCGTATGATAGAGAAGGCCGTCAAAGATGGCACCTGGGTAGTGCTGCAGAACTGTCACTTGGCCACATCATGGATGCCTACACTGGAGAAAGTTTGTGAGGTTTGTATGGTGTACCATACTGTAGGTTTAATACATGGGCACGACCTGTTATCGATGTGGCTGTTGCAGAAATGAATTTGCTATTGCGAACTGACCTAACTCCCGGCAGTTCGCAGGATCAGGTAAAACTTTTAGTGAATGAAAAGATTAACTCTTCACTCGAAACTGATTCTACGCCTGTAAGCGACTTTAGGAGTACTCTTCTCACATTTGAGTCAACGGCTTTGTTCCGGGTAATGAGGCTTTTATTCTGTTTCATTGCTGTGCAAACGTTTTTTCACTAAACGTGTCCTTTGTTTCGTCTTATGAAGGAACTGAACCCAGACACGACACACCCTGATTTCCGGCTGTGGCTGACCAGTTACCCGTCACCAAACTTCCCAGTGTCTGTACTTCAGAATGGTGTCAAGATGACCAACGAACCTCCCAAAGGACTGCGTTCAAACGTTATACGCTCCTACCTGAGTGACCCTATCTCAGACCCAGAGTTCTTTACAACCTGCAACAAGCCTGTAAGTAACAACTGAAAATAAGCTGGATACTTTTTACAACTTCTTTGTCATTCTTCAAGGCGATGGCCTGTCAAATTCATGACCATTCGTCTTTGCTCTTCATCTTTCAGCGCGAGTTTAAAAAAATGCTCTATGGTTTGTGTTTCTTCCACGCCATTGTTCAAGAGAGGCGGACATTTGGTCCCTTGGGTTGGAATATTCCTTACGAATTCAATGAGACTGACTTGAGAATAAGTGTGCGACAGCTCCACATGTTCATGAATAAATATGATGTAAGTATGTTTGCCCCTAGTTACTACTCAGCAAGTTTAAACCTTAAACAGCCATGTGACAGTTTTTGCAACGTAAAATATCAAGCCAAGCTTTTAGAATGAATGGTTTTCAATCCGTTCAAATCTTCTTCAGCTGCAGCCGTCCTTGTTCCTTGTCAGGTTGACATGGCGTCTGTTGTATTTTACGATCTTACGAGGCTGATATTTTGTGTTCTTCTTCAAGTTTACGGTAGTTTTGTGCGTGAAAAGATATTCTTTGATAACTAGTCATAGTTATATTGACACGGTGACCTTTTATGTCGCTAAACAACTTAACAAATGACGAGCGCAAGTTTGTTTGAGAGATATTTGTGGTTGTGCATTGCATGAGTCAATAGAACCTTTTCCTGTATTTTTTCATTGCAGGAAGTCCAGTTTGCTGCTTTGTCTTACCTGACTGGAGAGTGTAATTATGGCGGCCGAGTGACTGATGATCGTGACAGACGGACTCTGCTAACCATCTTGGACAAGTTTTACAGCCCAGACATCATAAACAACGAGGATTACAAGTTTTCTCCAAGCGGCAATTACTTTGCTCCTAAAGAGGGTGAATACGAGACTTACATCGAGTATTCACGTAGCTTGCCGTTGATAACCCACCCCGAAGTATTCGGCATGCATGCTAATGCTGACATTAGTAAAGATCAACAAGAAACCAATCTGTTGTTCAACAGCATCCTGCTGACTCAGTCTCGAGCTTCTGCTAAGGGAGGAAAGTCAGAAGACGAGGTGGTGTATAGTGTGGCAGCGGACATCTTGGAGAAGCTTCCTCAGAACTTTGACACTGAAGCTGCACTGCGCAAGTTTCCTACCACCTACGCACAAAGTATGAACACAGTGCTCGTACAGGAGATGGTAAGATTCAACAGACTTACAGAAGTAGTGCGGTCCTCGCTTATCAACATACAGAAGGCCATCAAGGTACGCGGTATTTAGACCTTTTGACTTTTAACTTTCCGAACAGCCTGGAAGTGTTTAGGGTCATTTCCCTTAATGTTGGCGAATTGATAGAGATTATGGAAGAACACTGCCAGTTCTCTCAGTAGGGGAGCTTTTCGAATCGGTACTGAGAGTTCATCCCGCGGTGGAGAAGTAAAATGTGAGAAACTGACAGAGAGATCGGTGAACGATAAAGACCGACTTAAAGTTTCCGTTTTAGAAAAGTGCAGAAAAATCTTATTTTTTCGCTTGCGCGAGGAGCTTCAAAACAGGGCGATGTAGCATTAATTTTATTTTAAGGGTCAAATGATTAAGCAGACGTACTCACTGGAGACCAACAGAATTTAAAAAAAAAAAAAAGCAATGTACTTAGCTCGCTTTAATTTCCACGCCAATAATCTTAAAAATAAGGGAAAGAAATTGTCAAAAAGTTCTGTTTCCAACAACGGGTGTTATCGCAATATTTGCGATATTTTCTTTGCAGTTTGGCTAGTCTGACAACGATTGTTCCTCAAAGGACACTGAACTGTAAAAGCAAACTAGAATTAAGCTCGGTATACCCTACTTTGTTTATAGGGATTGGTTGTGATGTCGTCTGAGTTAGAGGAGGTGGTGAGTGGCATTCTGAAAGGAAAAATCCCAGGCCTGTGGATGAAGAAGTCATACCCATCACTCAAGCCCCTCGGCAGCTATGTCAATGACCTCATAGCCCGACTGAAATTTCTCCAGGAATGGTATGATAATGGTGCACCTCCCGTATTTTGGGTGTCTGGATTTTTCTTCACCCAGGCTTTCTTGACCGGTTCAAAGCAGAACTATGCCAGAAAATACACTATTCCCATTGATTTGTTGACCTTCGACTTCGAGGTTCTTGAGGACAAGACATACGATACTCCACCTGAGGACGGAGTGTACGTGAATGGATTGTTCATGGAAGGTTCCCGCTGGGACAGGGAGAAAAAAGTGATAGGCGAGTCTCACCCTAAAGTGCTTTACGATAATATGCCTGTGATGTGGCTGAAACCCTGCAAGAAGGAGGGTATTGTAGACAGACCACACTATGTTGCCCCTGTGTACAAGACGAGCGAGAGACGTGGAACACTCTCCACCACAGGACATTCAACCAACTTTGTTATGGATATGCGCCTGCCGTCTGACCAGCCGCAGTCGCACTGGATCATGCGTGGTGTGGCTCTTCTGTGCCAGTTGGATGATTAAGTAAATAAACCGTGTGATGATTCACCTTATATACAATCAGTCACTTAAGTCGTTGTATGTAATTCCTTTGGTACTCAATACTCTTTTTTAGATGTTTATAATACGATAGTTTCCTCAAGATTTTCGACATGAGTGACAAAACTGAATGAATGCGTGTAAACAGAAGACTTTGAGTTAACTTCTCTTGGTAATGTGGTAACAAAGTGCCTATGATGGCTGTTGTAAAAGAAAATTCCACGTTAAAATGCTTTTTCTCATAGATCTGCTTTCTTTTGTTTTGTTTTGTTTTGTTTTTTTCGATATATATATATATTCAGGATCAGTTATTCAGGATCTAATCTTTATTATAGGGTGATATGACAAACTGCGATTATTTCAAAACTGGTTTTGCGCAAACAATTGTTCTACAGAAAACGTTGACTACATCATGGAGCTCATTTCGAGAAAATCTTGTAAATAATGAATGTGAGTTACCAGGGGGCACCGCATACATTACCGAGGCCAGAGATCACGTGCAACACCTGTCCGTCATAATTCTACCGCTTAGTAAATGACTTGAGCGTAAGTTAATTATTTCCGTATCGTTCGATTTAAATCAGTCTCACTAATGCTCTGACTTTTACTCGACACTGCTAATAGTGAGCACAGTTGCTCTTATCCTTTCTGATTTTGTAGTGTTTCAATTTTCTTACGATGTAAGGGTTTATGAAAGCGACCCGCAGAAGCAACGACCAATTGTTAATAAGTCACATGGGGGCACAGGGTGTGAACTGCTGTTGCGTCTTGGAGAGGAAGTCCTATCATCTAGTTATTGAGAGTTTCATTATGCCTAATCTTTCGAGAGGGTAAGATATTTTGTTTTTACATGGATGGACCAAGTTCGCTGAAGGAAGCCCTCCCCTAATTTCAAAATGATATTAATTTGTGTACTGCGTGCTTACGTGGAAATCCTTATCCAAGCATAATATTGGTTTTTTATCAAGAGTTAAAGGCAGCACAACCAATCTCATTTGCCAACGTCATCAACAAATAACCCATAGGTACTTCCATGGCTAAGGCAGCAACCTTGCTGTGCGCGCGACAAAGGGGCATACTGCAATTCATTTCAAAATAAGTTTTGCGAAAACAACTGCTTTACAGAAAACGTTGACTCTATCATGAGGTTAATTTCGAGGAAATTTTGTAAACATTGGATGGGATTACAAGGGAGCGCCGCGTGCATGACCGAGGCCAGTGATTACGTGTAACACCTGTCAGTCATTATTCTGCTACTTTGTAAATGGCTCTTCGTCGCATGCTGGACAAAATCAATTTATTGCGATATTTTTATACAAGATGACTCATTTTTTTACCAAAATACATTTTTTTATTTCACTTGACAAAGCGGAAAGAAGTTCAAAAGATTAGAGAAAGATTTTAGGTAAAAAATTTTTTGTAATTTGTTTTTGTTTCTTAGTTCATACGGTTTCAAGGGAATACAGACACCTGCCATGATACGCAAGCGAGCCTTGTGTAATCACTCTATAGGACAAAAAGAATAAAAATATTACCATTCTCTTCCCCTCCGGTGATATCACATTCTTGTAAATGGCAGCAAAATTACCAAGTTGCATTTCGACTGGTCTATCTCAAAGACGTTGCTATAATATGGAAAACGCCGAATGTGCGTACGAGTTACCGAATGGAGAAGCTCTTGAAATAAAGAATGACCCTAACTCAAAATCCGCGGGCTTCACGTTAGAGCATGATGAGGCTCAAATATATTCAACATCTACTCCATCGGTGCAATCTGACGAAGAAAATCGTCGTGAAGATATGGATTTTGATACAATGTTTGACGGTGAACAATCCAATGTTGAACGAATAGGAAGTTCAACGGATTTGAACCAGGCAGAATTTAGGAAGTTACAAGTAGGCAAGCATATTCTTCAGCTGCCAGTACTCCATTCTTCATCACAGAACTGCCGAGTAGACAAAGACGTAAACAACTCAAGCAAAAAGGAACACAAACAAAAAGGCTCAAAAGTCACCACACATCGAACATGATCTGCCCAAGTGAGATATATTTAGCACATCATCTACATTTTACGAGAAGGAAATTATACTCAATCGATTTTAAAAATACGTTTAGATAAACAAGTAAATAGGTTATTTCGTATTCAAATAATGCATTATTCTGGTATTGTGAGATAGCAGATTAAATGTAAATCAAACAAAAACGTTTCCGACCATTTTGATATTCTTTGCAAAATCTGTTAAAAAAAAATGCAGTACAAGTTGCAACAAAGTTGAACCCAAGGCTTCAAGCCAAAAACTGTAAAAGGGACATGACAACTGTCCTCTCTCTAAAATGGGAAACTTTTCAATCTTAGCCGAAACTGAGAGCAAGTCAATTTTAAGTTCATCCTGGCCGGTTGTCACTAGTTACTACACGGAGAATGAAAGCAGAGATTGAGAGGTCTCGATATAATTTTATTTTTCTGATTTACTGTCTCACCTGACCTAACACGTTTTCACGAGCAGCGGTGCTCTAGATTAAAACCTTTGCAGATGTTTTCCCCTGGTGAATGGATAAGGAATCCATAAACAGACAACATTCCACCTTCCCCTCGGTCCCTGTTTTTTCCCACAAACATGTTTTGCTCTCTCGTAAGCAGTCGAGGGATAAATAACGTCTCAAAGATAGACAATAGGAGAGTTTTAACGAAAATCATTGCAGCATGAGCTTGATTTAGGATACTAGACTGTAAGTTCAGTACAGTAGTTGGAATCTATTCACCGTCGCATGGCGTTATTCTAAGGAGCTCGACCCACTATTGTGCTGGTGAAGATTTTCCTGAAGAGCCTTCAATCGGTTTGGCCAGCAAGTTTCGCCACGAGGAACCCGGGCCCAACAACGGGCCGAGTGAAAAGACTTGAATATCAATTACTCATTTAATTGGCTGAATAAAAAGAGAGTGAATGAATGATATGTACACGAGAATTCCACTCTGGTGGAGCTACTATTCCATTTGTTTGCCTGCATCATCTTGCTTTAACAACAATCGGATGCTTGGTTTCCATAATGCATTAACAGATTTGTTGAAACTTTTAACAATACTCATATTGTGATCATGTCGGCTACTGTTCTTCAACTGCCACTTGTTTTGCGCACACTATACATTTTTCAAATACTTTTCTTCAACTAAGCTTGCTAATTTGCTTCACCTTATATTCGATCATAGCACAAAAATGTTCTAACCCGCATGGCAAGAAACACCTTCAGCGTAGAGTTCAAACGTTCAGGGAGACACGAACTTTTAGGGTATTACCAAAGTGAAATACCGGAATATCTAATCAAATTTGTTTGCCTAATCTATAAACAAATGGCCTCGAGTCAAGGTGGATCTTTTATCTACACTAATGTGTTTACACTTCTGCGTATTCTGATGCAAAAAATGTCACTCCTCTTTGTTTTCCAGAAATGCTTCTGTCACCGTAAGTTCAGGAAAAGGAAAATATGAATTAGAAAGAAAACAGTGAACAGCTTCAAAGATTTCCGCTTGTTAATGGAAAATGCGAAATTAATGTCTAATCTCATTTTAAGTGAGAACCCAAAAGATTGAAAAGTTTACTTGCAAAAGTGTCCCTACTATGTCTTGATCAGACTTTGGTTTGCTGTATGAGCCGCTTAATATAACTTCTAATTGAGTTATATGCGATTACTTTCCAAACAGATCAGCGTTAAAATAGACGATGTATTAACTATAGCATCATCATAAAGGCTTCAGTATGGCCACGGTCTGATTGGCATGATGGGGTCACACACTAAGCTTGTATCATGTTATTAAACGGCCTTCAGTGTTCTGATACTCCATGTCTGCAGTTATCCTTATCTCAACTTATATCAGTTTTCGTGATATTAGCAACAATGTATCCATTAGCCTTCTTTTTCATTGTTAAAAGTGATGTTAACATATCAGTGCCAAGAACAGTCCCTTTCACAAAGTCGGCGAGTAATTCGTAGTAGAAATGATGAGTTCTGTTCTTTGATCGCAGAACATTGCAACTAAAGTAAATTGACTTTAATCCTGAAGCGCTCGTCATAGTTTGCCATATGATGAGCAAAAGTAAAGATAATAAAAATCAACAAACCAACGCTAATGGATAAAAACGTGACGGTCAACAAAGACGTGTCAACATATCGAGCCACAAGACAGAGGTGTTCCTCTCAGCCGACCGACGAACTACAGGCCACGCTCACCTTAAACAGTTTAACAGTTTTGTTCGCGTGCCAGTGAACAACAGACTTCAACATACTCAATGAACATGGATCAAAGACAAGAAGACAGACCTAGGGTGGCGTCATTTCTTATCGATGATATTCTGGCACCACAAACCTTCCCGTCTGCAGTACAATGTCCCAGTGCAAAGCCGACTGCATCAGTAGAACACCCCAGCTCGTCACAAAATTCCACTCAAATCACTGATAACCGCTCACAGATACGTCCTCAACCATTGGATTCAACTTACCTGACATGTTACGGTAATGTATATTGTATTTTATTCCACGATAACCGCTCCAGGTTCAGTTTTTACGTAGCGGCTTTACATGCAAAGTAGTACAATGACACAAATGAACGTGTACAAAACTGTCTTCGGTGACTTATTATGTTGTTTTCTTTCGATTGTTATATCACTGTTAACACATTTTCACTGCTAGCGATACTTCTCATTCACATTTTAACGAATACTTAATAAAATTAATCTCTGTATCACGGATTGTGTGAATTTGGAAACTTCATGTTTGTTTTAAGTGTACCAAGTCTAACATGAATCAAATGGTCTCTTTTTATTTGTTTATCATATATTTTCATGATTTTAAACCTGCGATGTTAGAAGTGCGCTGACGCGCACTAATTCGTTTGAAAGATGAACCTTACCACTTGCAAATGGTGCATCCACCGCCATATATCGTGTTTCAGAGCTCAAGCTAGTGCTTTCTTTAGAGTCCGTTAGGTATAGTCGTGCCACATATAGATACTGTAAGAGATTTGTGAGATATTCGGGGTACGAAAACCTTAAGAGGTCGTCGTCTTGTCAGTTTTTAACACGTGCTGTGGTCGTGTATCGTATCAGTAGGGATTGCTATTTGCATTATAACCATTCGAGATGACGTGAAGGCTCTCCTGGTAAGCGACATGCTGGAAGCACAGGACTGAGCAATCGTTGTAGAGATGTCGCTTCTAAAATCATTTTGGTGTACAGTCTAATCAATCGTTCTTACTTATCTTACAAATAGCGTGTCTATAGATTTGATAACCCATATTCACAATTGAATATTTTCTCCAACGCGAAACACGCTTTGCCCTCCGCTAGCATTTTCAGCCAAAATTAATTGGGCGGAAGTGTTTCAGTGTATTGTGAGTTCAGGAAGAGCAAAGATCAGATAAATACCAGATAATACAGCCAAGATTTTTTCGTAGATGTTTTTTCTTTCTGTTGTTTCTTCGTAAATTGTATCTTATTTCTCTCTTTATCTTTCTAAAAGATATTCAAGGAAACTTTTTTCCTGAATTCGAGTACTTCTTTGTTTGTTCCACATGAAAAAAAAAACCTTGCTGATTTTAATATATCTTTTCTTTGCCGATTTTTCCCAAATCCTTCAGAGCTATAGGCAAGAAAAAGCACCTGAGCCACGTCAAAAGACATGTGTTTGTTAATACAGAGCTGATTATTCATGTTTATCATAATTTGCGTCCATTAATTTGAACGGCATCAAAGAAAGGTCAAGCAGTATGAATACCGCCAGATATCTAACTAATACACTCTCTTGGTTTCCTATGTTGCATTTCAAGATGGTTTGTCATGATAGTCTCCAAAAAAGGCGCAAGTTCTACCGCCAATGCTGACTGAATGCCCAGATTAACTCACCCAAATCTAGAAATACTTCAGCTCTTTATTGGTTACACTAAACGTGTTTGCATTTCAGTTCGATTATCGTTCCTACATGGACTTTTAGATTTGAAGAGGCAATTCTGCCTCCTTCGACTACGTGCACGTATTTAGCGTCGTGAAGTTAGGTCAATGTTGTTAGTTGGGGCCAGATGAAGAGAGATCTAAGTGAGACATAGATCCCAGACTGGGCTTCCTTCAGGTTATAATGTTGTTCACAATGGTTTGTCATAGTTGCAGCCAAAAACGTTAGATCTAACTGAGAACTAAAGACGAAATACTGCTTCATTATTGTTCAAACTGAAAGGGTTATATTACGGACAGAGATTGTTGCTGGAGCCGGGTTACGGAAGAGAGCAGGTCCATCTTTTCATTTTAAGCTCCACTAACCACTAAACATAAAACGCAGTTAGGTCCACCCTTTTGCTTATTATTATGATTAAGACATTATATTTTCTTCAAAATGAAACACTGCACAAAGTTTTATGTGAAACCTGACAAAGCATTCACATAAACTTGCATCACAGAAAGCCGAACAGCACCACGTAAATTAGCGATGAAAAAGCGCATGGTGACTATTTTGGAGAAAACTGATGAGGTTTACTAACATGCGACATCCCAATCAAGGATTCTAATTAATCAACGCAACCTCTAAAACATTCACTCAGAAAAAAGTCGGGTATTTTGTATCTCTTTTCACACCTAAAGTGATGATTTAAGGCAAATCAGCATCTTCGCCGGAAAATTCCCCAACAAGAATCTTGTAAAAGGAAAGCACTAATTGAAATGCGACTGAAAACTAAGAAATTGTGCTTCAGTTTCTAACGACGAATAAAATCTTCAGCGCTGAAGAATAATAAGACAAAATAATACAGTGAAAATCAGTAAAGTCATTCATTGTGGATCATTCAATTGCATCCTTATCACAAAGCTGTATACACACAGAATGCTCCATTGACACATTCAAATTTTATCATATCAACCTTTCTTGCTTGTCGGTTTTTCTTTGAAGTATGTTTTACGTCTGACAACATGTGAGCCTGGCTTGTAAATTTAATTTCTTACATTTCAATGATTAATATGGGTGCGATTGCTTCGGAGGCCAACTTGTTACTTTATTATCTATACGAGCTGTTAAGAGACTATAGCTCTGAAAGATTGCCAACAAACAAATTGCGCTCGAAAATATATTTATCTTTTAAATTATGATTGAGTTACACTGATTCATTTAAGATCTTTGCCAACCTTCGGCAGCTGAATTGTTTTAAAATTTCGCTCCAGTTCAACGTTTTTTTAACAGTTTGTTCCATTTTTAACCGGGTAGTTTTTGTTCCTCCGTATTGTTCGCTGCTATGTTTTCATAAGCTAAAAGCATTAATGGACATATTCGTCTTCGTTCAAAGAAAAACAAACATTGTTTGTGCAAAGAAAGGGATAGTAAAGTGTTAAACCAATGCTAACAAACAGAACCGTCAGAGAACAAGGCAGTAGTATTCAGACACACCTTGGACATACACCTCAGCTGTGTAGTAACAGCATCGCATCAAAAATGACAATGATCTAATTGATTTTTCCCAAAAGAATGTCAACACAGCGAAGGGATCTTTTAGATAAATGAAGAAAAAAAGGGAGTCGTTGCCCCTAGAAGGCTTGTGCTGAAAACTGCCGATTTAAATTTACTTTTATCCATGACAATATTACTTGCGACAGCAGAAAACTAGGCTTTTTTACTCTGTTTCAACTTATGATTACAAGAAATAGTGAATCAATACGTTTTTCTGTGCACTGATCACAGTGTTCAACGAATCGGCTGCTGATTATGGTAACAAGTTCATTCATTATTTTGTTCTGAGGAAATTTAGCGATGGACATGAATTCATTACTATGTCGGGATGTAAAGCATTTGGCTTGATCACGTGTTTTTGGCAGCCTTATTGCAATAATTACAGCTCGGACAACCACTGTTGGCTGAATTCGACCGAGTTGGTACTTCACATTTCCCCCAGAACTTGCTCAAGGCTAAAGCGGCAGTTGTTCAAAAGGCTGTTCTCACGGCCTACCCAGGACTATTAATATTCAAAAGTAGTTTTGATTATTCTTCTGTAAAATTGAACATTCCTAAGGTGGGGGAACTGAAGGAAACACGAATGTAAACAATAACTGAGTATGAAAATCAACGAGTTGCTAATAGCCCTAGGTGAGGTTAGTCTTGTCATTGAACAACCAAGCCTTGTGGTTTTTGACACCTGTAACATACTCTGTTGAATTCCTGATTTGATACAATTTCTTGACCAGCACTTAGAGAATCCCTCTGAGAATTTCCATGATATAGAAGTTGATTTCATTTAATGTGCATACAATGGAAAAATACTTTCGGAGCACCAGATCTTTGTATTGTTTTGCTTCAACACAGTAAACGCGCGATACGGATGTAACGTCTTCCTACTTTCTGTTAGTAACACACGTCATAGTTCGTAGAGAGGACTGGAGTCTCCTCTACTAACTATGCACACGTTGATAAAGAGATGGGAAGGTTTTTAACAAAGTTACCCTTATTTCATCTCGCAGTAGCGTCATGGGAAATGCACGATCAACATATCTAAAACAGTTTAAAATCATGTAAAACAAGCTTCTCAGTAACACCCAATCAAGAAAAATTCATTGGTCACAGAACATATAAAAAGAATGCAAATGTTTTCACCATTTCAGGATCTCCCTGTCATGTGGCTCGGCACCCCGCTTGTTATTGGAGACCCCCATACGCTTGTTATTCACCAGTCCATGGATACAACTGCAATCATGGTGCAAATTCTTCCTTCTTCCGTACGTCTTCAGGTAAGACGGACATTATGAAGTTAGTTGGCAAGATCGGGTCGAAGAAATATGTCAGAACACAAAGGAAAAGAAGAATTAATGGCGGCTTGATACGATATGGGATATTTTTGTTCTAATCCACCTTGTCATCGATATTTTCATTGAATCCGATCAACACAATATATTATGTGTTGCCATGCGTTTGGCAGAAATAGATCACAGATGACGTGAAAATGAGGTAGGAACAACAAAAAAAGTGCAGACGAGTGTGTCACTGATGTTTTCACCACATTTTTGACGTCTGTGATCTATTCCTAGTGCTGTCCAAACGCACGGTAACATGGATTCTGGTGGCTTTTATACGATAAAAAAAGTAAAACGTCGTTGATGGTTGCGTCTGTGTGTGTGTCCTCCAATAGATCATAAGTGAGAACGTTAACCAATCAAAAACGTGTGTAATTTAGTTTATCATACAAATCCGCATATCTTAACTGGACTGTGTGTGATAACATGGTAAGATAACACGAGAAAAGGTTTTTGCTTTCTCCCCACAGATCTTTTCGTTAGCTGTAAGAGGCATCCGCCAACTTCTTCAGAATCTTATACACAGTCTATTCATGAACAGTCACGGTCACGAAGACCTAGAAGACCCTGGACTCGAGCAGTGTTTTCTAACTTACAACGTAAGGGACTTGAGAAGCGTTTTCAGGTTCAGAAATACCTGACAAAAGCAGATAGACATCAGTTGGCCGCCATGCTGGGCTTGTCAGATAATCAGGTCAAAGTGTGGTTTCAAAACAGGAGAATGAAATGGAGGCAAGAGGCCAGAGAATCTGTTACAAGTACAAACAATGAGCCACACAATCTCGATGAAGAAGAAAGTTAGCAAAGCCTTTCACAATTTCAAAACTTATTTCATTCAGACCCCGTGCACAACGCAAGATTCCTGAATCTCATCAGCTGATGGAGGCTGACTGCTCTTTCCAAAACTCAGGAATTCTAAACGTTAACTTTTACTTGGTCATGACTTATTTGAATTATCTTACCCATTTGAAAGATAAATTAGATTTATTTACATTGCCATGTGGACAATAAAAATAAGTTTGGTTCCCTCGGCTTTCGCTGCACTTTCAAGAATTATCGCTACGTCCATGTAAAACACTCAGTTTGAATGTTCAGAGTGTACGAGTCTTTCAGTCCGTAGTTTCACGACAGATGAAAACACCCTACCGGCTTTTGAAGGAATTAAACATGTCTCATACTCAACTCCGTTACGCCTCCTGCATACTTACACACTCGACACTCGAAAACAAGTGCATACGTTCATTTGCCATCTCGCTTCCAGGATCCTCTCTGTTTCTCCCTTACCTTTGTTTGAGAGAGGAAGATGGGGCACCTTGGGTACGAGATTGTCACTTATTCCTATGAAGTAGAGAAATAGGCAAAAAGAGAGGGAGAATCGTGGAGTTGGTTGGATGTGATGATGTCACCAGTAAAAGGCTCACTTTCGCGACCAGTGAGCCTTTTTTTCACAACCAATATTTTTGTATTTCTATAGTTTATCGTGTCCACGCACACATACGATGGTTTGCCTGGGATAAAATACCGCCCTTAATTGAATGCTGCAGACGAAAGCGAAATTATTTCAGTCAGCATGATGTGGCGTTTATTCGTGAAATTTAAGGAAAAAAATGACACACTGGGTGCAACACTTTAATGTACCAGTTCCTGGTTGTAAACATCACAAGTCAGACAAGAGAATATGAGCATTTGGCTACAATTAAATCAGAAGTCCTTATTTGAATTAATATTAAGTCCCTGACAATTTGAAAGTAAGCTCAACCCTTCTGCCGCGTTCTCAGCGCAGTGTTCAACCAAACACGAAGACTATGCAAATCAATGTGTTTATTTATCTTCGGTGTCGAGTGGTGAAACTACATGCAAATAAAAAACAGAAAACGATGAAACGGAAACAGAAGACAGAAAAGACGATAAGGGAAAACAATAAAATAACAAAAAGAAGAAAACTTACATGGATGGTGCTGCGATGAGTGATAAACTGACAAATAATGAGGTTGTAAAGTGAACTCTGCTGAAACTAAAGACGCAACACACGAGCTCCTAACCGAACGGGCTTGGGAAACTAAGCTGACCGAGTGGATCCCAGGGCCCACTGACAAACAAGGGGGAAAAACCTGTAACACCTTGCCTCTCCTTCCCTCTAACAACCACAGGTAGCCCAAGCTCTGCCACAGGCTCTTTCACGGTGGATTATTAAAGAGTTTGTATAGTGGTTTAGTTGAACTTGCTTTTGAGCTCCGTAAATGTAAAGTTGTGTGAAATGATCAAAGAAATAAAGTCTTACCTTCTTAGAGAGTAGTCTGTGTTGTTCTCCTCGTGATTTGTGGCCGTTTTGATGTGTTTTAGCTTGACGCCCTAATCGCCACCGATTCACCGTGCACAACACGTTGTAGCATAGCTTGAGCCACCTGTATGGTGGCCGAGAACTGCCATTAAAAATATTCAAATCTATAGGAATTATTTTTGTTATTTTTTTTAATTTCGATTTATTTCTCATTTTTCTTTTTTAAAATAAAAGCAAGTGAAAGAGTAAAATGTAAAATAGAAATAAAATGAAATCAAAGATAAATTAAATCAAATCAAACTTAAATACTACCCGGCCGAGCGCTGCCACTAGTTTTTTTTTTTTTTTTTTTTTTCGCGGTCGTAAAAGAAAATTTGTTCGTGGCCGAACGCTGCCACATGGCCGAGGGCTGGCAAACAAACCCAGAATTCTTTGCAGGATAACTTTCAAGATTCTAGTATGGCGGATGCCACGTGGAAAAAGTTAAAAGAGAAAGTGACTGCGAAAAGAGGGAAGAAGCGTGATGCAGGAGATACAACGCATAAATTAATTAAAGGAAAGGAGCTGTATAATAATAACTGTCGAATTCAATGAAGGAAAAGAGCCGTTCGCTCAAGGTGGGTTTCGCAATGCATACAAAGCAACCACAAAGCACCCACAGTACAAGGGGACTACCTGGGTCATTAAAAGATACCTTCCTGATGCTGCGAAGGGAATAAATGATATTGGGAAAACTGTCCAACAACACACCCAAAAGGCGGTTCAGATGCATCTTCTTGCAAGGAATTTTGTTCGCCAGTTGGAACAAAAAATCATTGAAAAACATGCTATTGATGCATTCCGGAGAGGTCCAAAGGTATAGAAAGATCTACTACGGTGACTGATAAAGGAGAATTTGTGACTGTGAAGGAGTTTATTGATGGACAGTTTACCAAGTACTTAAACAATACTGGTGATTGTTGTGTCGAGGAAACAGATGTTATGGGTCAGAAGGCTCAATGCCTAACCCATTTTTCTTATGAAAAGTCAGACAAAAAACTCATGCTGCTAGACATACAAGGACATGGGTATGAATTATTCGACCCAGAAATTGCTTCTACGGCGAGAACACATCAAATACAAGCTCTTAGGTAAACTTCTCACAAAAGTAGAAAAAATTCCACGCGCCGCCATCTTTGTTTTGAATTTTCATCTTTTTGATCTCGCGCTTCTTTCGCACGTTTCTCTCGCGCGCGTCACGCAAGAGTGACCTGTTCCCCGCGCGAGGAAACTGGTACGAGCCACCTTAATTTTGATTTGATTTCATCTATCTTTGGTTTCATTTTGTTTCTATTTTACATTTTACTTTCACTTGCTTTTATTTTAAAAAGAAAAATGAGAAATAAATCGAAATTAAAAAAAAATAACAAAAATAATTCCTATAGATTTGATTATTTTTAATGGCAGTTCTCTGCCACCATACACCTGTGCTCACAACCAGGGAGCGCTTTACGTTAACACCGGTCAGCGTTCTTCCACGCCTTGCGACATTTCTTTTCGTCTTACACCACACAGAAACCAACCGCGCGAAAACTCAGAAACATGTTGACTACGCAACATTGTGTGCACGTCATATAATATCTACAGATCTAAACTTTTCCAACGAATCAAGGTTTTTAGCGTCAAGATTTATGGCATCTTAAAGCCATTTTAAAGCAAAGATCCGTCATTCTGCAACAGTTCTAAGGATTGGAGTCTTACACTGTAATTAATTTGAATTGCGCTGCGGCAGCTCCGAATTAATGATATCATTGAGAGAAATCCGCCCAAATGTGGAATTTCTCTCGTTTAAAAGTCCACCCGATTTGAGTAAAAGAGAGAATTAAGGCCGATCAAGATGGAATGCGAGGGATCCACCACAGATGATGATTTAACAGAAGATGAAGAGGACTCGAAAACAGCTGATGTTGAGTCAGGAAAAAATGTAAACAAACAAGCCACTCAAACAAGACAGTAAGTTCCACATTCTGTTTCGAGGGTTCCTGAAAAATCATCCTTCTTAGTGAACTTTTCAACTTTAAAAGAGGAGATTTCGATTATTCTCACGAAGTTAAACCTGTTAAGTGTCCAATTCTCATTATTTATCTCGTCAGTCACATTGAGTTCAAGGTTGATGGGAAGAAAGGCAATGGCGCAAACTGCTCAGACTTGAATGATGAAGCGACATCAACAGATACATCAGGTTTGAAACTTATTCCGTGCGATTGTCTAGAGTTGATTTTTTTGATTTATTATTTCTGTGTTATTATATACATTTCTAATACTAGTCTACCGTGGCTCTTTAATATAAATTGCATGCTTTTTATTAGCTATGTTTATATTTTTATATTTTTATTCTTTTATCTCTTCTTGATGTGTAATAGCGTTGAAGAGTAATAAAGTAGAATGCCCTGATCATGATGACTTTGTAAGAAAAGGAACAACAGGCAAAGAAAGTGATTGCTTGGAGAGGTTATCTTTGATTTGGAGCAATTGTGATGTTCAATTTTTTTTTTTTTTAAGGCCAAATCAGATCCCTAGACCTTAAAGACCTTTGCTCGGGGAAGTGAACTCCTCACTTTTGCATACTTCATATCTAACTATTAATATAACACTTGTATTCTACTGGAAACATTTAACCCTTCCAGTTCAAATTCACCCACTCCAGCCAAGCAAGGCTCAAATTCCCCACCCTTCCCAAGTAGAGATGACAGTCAAATACCCCTGGGTTGGGTTCCCTTGGGCAGAGTGGGATTGAGGGAATGTTGAAGCTTTAAATTAATTGGTGCATTATAGGGGAAAAAGCTTGCTGAAATGTCTTTTGTGAGGACACTAGAACATGTTATTAATTGCATGTTCCACTCTTCTGCTTTCCTTTGAGAACTGTTCTTTTACTTCCTGCTGAAGAAAATTATGGGACAGTTATTGCTTGGAATGATTGCATAGCTAGCTACAACTGTACAAGGGCCCATTAGAAATAAAATCCTGCATGCTTGAATGAAATACTATCTTTTTTAAACATTTCAGTGTATGATAGCTTTTATTATGATTACCTTTGTGGTGTTCTAAATTGTGATATTTTTAACTTATTGAGTGAATTTGAAACTATATTCTTTCCTTGCCATAAATAGTTTTCTAGTCATTACTCTGTGGGAGAAAATTCAATAGATGTCTTACATAATTGACCCCTCTCTAGATGTTAAAACCTTAACAACAGAATGCACTACATTCTTTACTCATCTGAAAGGAAATGAAGCTAAAGAAGCCATGAGGTCAGTAATTTCCAAGAAAACAATATTGTCATACCTCTATGCTCAACTTTCCTCAGATTCACTATTAATTTTGTTGACCAAAGGTCATAAAATGGTTGCCAGAAAGAAAAGTTATGTAGCAAGAAATGAAATGAGGATCAAAAATTATTTTTCAAGGTTCATATGGCACATCAGCCTTGAGACACATTAGTGTTAAAAGAAAACAAGGGAGGATTAACGATGAAATTACCAGTTACAGCCCTAATTTGGGGGAAAAAACTAGAAAAGGGACCCATAACAATGATGCATCTTGTTGAATTAGTACTCCCCTATTACTTCACTTTGAAGTAAATGCCATGAGCACCTACAGGTGAATTTAAAACTGCACTGTATTTTACAATTCCTATTTAGATTTAAGTATGGTGACTATGAAGCAATTATAGAAAGTGTCCAACGGGAAAAGGCAGATTCACAATCAAAAGGAGGTACATTGTATCAGTGATTTTCAGTAGTTGGACAACTTATGTTTGGTTCAGTTTCCTTATTAGAGGGGGGGGGGTCTTATTTCTACCTGCCACTTGAATCACAGAAGAGTTATAGAGTATATTTCTATTTGGGTTTAGTATATTTGAGATTGTTAATTTTACATTTGAACTGCAGGCACCTATTTCAGTCTTGATTGTTGTACATATACATGTACAGACCAGAACTAAAGTTAAATAACAAAGTTGAAATTATTTACAAGTCACTGGTACAATAACTGCTTATAACTGTCCACTTAGAGAAGCTTGACTGTAGATGTACAGGACTGTAAATAGTCATTCAAAGTGAAGAGTGTTTTGAAGTATCCATTTCTTTTGTGATGTTTTTAATCATTTTACTTTGTCAAATAGATCATATACAATCAAAAGCAAGGAGTAAATGGAAAGGTATTGATAGTAAAGTATGTGTATTGTATGGTTAAGATTATATTTTCCAGCTCAGGAGAATATCCATATCCCCTTCAAGGAATTTTCAGGGACAACACTCATCAAAGATTTCTTTGGAAACTCCAAGATAGAGAGAAGGCTCAAAAATGAAATTTCCCTAACTCTTTAACTCCTAAAAGTAACAATTTCTAAAAGTAACAATTTAGAAATTGTTACTCTCCTGGCTGTATCTGGTCACTTTATTCGATGGTCGGATCATTCCTGACCATTTTATTCCATGGTATGGTCAGTTCTTCCCAAACTAAGTCAGTTAATACACTGACTTCAGATAGATCCAAGATTTGAATATGTAGAAACAAGAGTATGAATAACATTAGAATAATAGAAAAGAGTTTTTAAATGGTTGAAAGAGGAATGCTGATATGACTGCTGCACAGGAACAGTCTGTAATAGTGATTGCAAATAGGACCCAAGCTTTGTGTTGACTATGTATTGTTAACTTGCAACGAATTGTGTGATTGCCTTTCATTACATAATGTTATATAACTAGCAGTATAAATCTATTCAGTTGTCCATGTTATTAAGGTTAGGTTGAGTTGTGTAAGTATGTACTAAGTTGTTGTGTACCTAGCAATTGAGTGTTTTGTATGTTCCCTTTTTAAACATTGTTCTTTGCTAAATACAACATAGCGCATTCATAATAATTTCTGAATTCCATAAGGGATCCTTTCCTATGGGACTCCTCCAAAATAGAAACTATGTATTTTGGTAACCTTGGAAAAATAATGGACACCTCTATGTGCTAGATGAAAGGGACATTTTTTGTGGGTTCCTCAGCCTGGTGTTAACCTCTATTTGGGAGACAACTGAACCACTCATTCATGTCTATAAGGCAGCTCAAACAGTTCCTGTTCCCTGACTGCTTTGTAGAGATGGAGAGAACTTTACCATTGTAGTTGAACACGTAAAACTGTAAACTATGTGATAGGAACTGTTCTAGTTTCCAAGACATACTTAGCACACTCTACTCTGTGATTGCTGATAATACTTACTCTAAACCATTGTACGCAGGATCACAGACATCAGTGTTGATTAAATTTTTTCATACATATATATGGCTGCTTGATGTCGCATTTCCAGGAGATTCCAAGCCAAAGAAATAGATTGAGTTTTAGTTGATAATTAACAAGAGAGCAACCAGCCTTTACACTCAGAGGACACATTTCCTGGCCCTTGGGTGTCCCCTCAGTGGGGATTCCGCTGTATTTAATACCTTGTTGGCCTAAGCCATCACTCACCATTGAGTAAAAGCTTGTGAGGATGCAATCCTGGGTTTTACTCCTGGTAATTTTTTTATTAATTACAGATATATTTTTTAACAGGGAAATTGGATGTTTCTGTCCAGTATAACACTAAACCACTTGGCAGGAGGAACTCAGTGAACAAGAAAAACAGTTCTTCTGTCATTCAGGATGTGGAAGAGGATTGCAAGATGATAAAACACAGCAGAAATTGTGCTAAATCACAAAGCTCAGTTGGAAAATCAGGAAATACAAATTTTAAGAGGGCTGAAGTGAAAAGCAGTAAGAGAAATAAGTCATATGTGGATGATGAAATGCTAGCAGATGGTAAGTTATTCACAAAAAACAACCTGTCTTGGATCACTGTTCATCTATTGAATAATAATAATAATGATAATCAGTTTAATTACTCTATTTGTAGCTTACAGCTAAATTATAAGAGTGGTCAGGATACAAATCATATCTATACAATAACATGAAACATTCAACTAAGAATATCTATAATTTTATGTAATAAATTTATCGAGATGGTTAGTAAAAGCCATAGTGGGATCATCTCTAAAAGTGCCTGAGCATAGATTGCATCCATGGGACACAGTTGTGTGATTTGGCAGCAAGTTAGCAAGGACACCAGTGTCCTGAACTCTCTGGATAAACTTAGTGCATGCAGCAGCACGCCGATCAGAGAGAGTGCAAAGACCAACCAGCACAAGTGCCTCCCTGTAGGGAAGCCCAGGAAAGATTATTTCTAAGGCCTTTACCTGCACACTCTCGATTAGGAGGCTAAGATAATCAGGCAGGTTTGCCCAAACTGGGGAGGCATACTCTAACACTGAACGAATCAGGCTGGAGTACACGATAACTTACTCACTTTCCAAAACACCTGACTTCTTCAGACAATGTAGTGTGAATAGGCGTTTGCAAGCTCTCTGAACAATGTACTCACAGTGCGTATTCCAGCATAAATTATCAGTAACATACTCACCAAGCAACTTGTACTTGTGGACATGCTCAATTTCAGACCCAGAAAGCTGTAAAGAAGGGGGATGGTGCAACTTATAGTGCAAGAAGTCGCTAAACATCTCCCTGCACTTCACAGGGTTAAGGCGCATGCCATGCTCGTTAGCATAAGTGTAAATATCTCTTGCAATGAATGGAAGAACACTAGTGGAACACCCAGGTATAATCTCTACAACTGAAAGGTCATCGACATATTTAGCCCTGATCTTCCATTGCCTGGCCAGGTTATTGACAAGTACTGCAAACAGCAAGGGGGGCAATTTGGTCCCTTGGGAAATACCACCCCTAGGTACAACATGACCCGAGGTAGGACCACCTATTTTAACAAACTGCGATCTATTTGACAAAAATGATCCAATCCAGGCAATTAGGACATTATGTACACCAAGATTACGCAAATCAGTGCAAAGGACATTATGGTCCACAAGATCGAACCCTTTGCTAAAGTCAGTAAATAAAATTCTATCATAGCAGTGTCCAGAGTCTAGGGCTTGTAAAATACAGTGTAAAATGTAAAGTAAGGCGTGTGTCATTGATTTTCCCGGTATGGCAAATTGCAAGGGGTCAATGTTATCAATAACTTGGCTATACAGGGAGCTAAGTGTGAAACCTTCCATGATTTTGGCTATCTGAGCAGTGAGAGTAATTGGTCTTAAATCACTGTCCACAGACTTGGGAGGTGACACTTTAGGCATGGGCCGGACCAGTGATTCCTTCAACTGAGGTGGAACATAGCCCTGTCTTAACGACGAGTGATAAATGTCAGTGAGCACGGGGCACAATTCCACTGCAAATTCCTTTAAGATCTTGTTGGGAATCAGACTAGGGCCTGGGGACTTGTTGGGCTTTATTTGTCGCAAGGCATTGTACACCAACCTTTGATCAACAAGGAACTCCTCAGGAACCTCAAGGTCCAGTTCACAGTCTGTCAATTCATTGGTGGAAACTGTCTTAAGTGATAAACTTGACCTTCCCGGACAATGTATCTAACATAACATCTACTTCTGTCATTTAGGGAAAGAATGAAATGCCTACTTTGATACATGTACCCCTGAATTTAACAGTGACGAGGTCTCTCAATGAGAACTTTTCATATCAATCCTAAACCACCTCAGCTATTACTATATGAAATTTATTTGTACTTGTACCTTGATACTAGGTTTGAGTGGCATATATGTATTGCAGCCTTTCTGCACTTCCTAGACTGTAGTCACATAGTACATGGTCACATAGTACACGTATATGTTTGTCCCACTCTCACAAGTGGCTCTTTTCTCTCTTGCGCTTATTGCTACTTGTTGCTTTCGACACTTAATTTTCCCCTTATGTTTTTGTTGGCTGGTTTCACCATACAGGTAGTTGGTTTCTGTGGCTGTTATATTCTTTACACTGTATATTGCAGCAAGGATAACTGTCAAATTACTTATCAATAAGAAGGAGGTCATACTTATTGATGTTCTGGAATATTCAACAATTATTATGTTTGTATTTTCCTATTATTTCAACAATTTGAACAGGTTTTCATGATCAAGACATGATAAGACCATCTTTGACAGAGCTGGCCCTGGGCCCCACAGTCCCTTTGATTTTGTCCAAACCTGGAGTTGTTCCAGTGATTCAGGTTGGCATCATCATTAGGAAATAATGTATAAAACAAGCTCAGTACCCAAAATAATGTATAAAACAAGCTCAGTACCCAAAATAATGTATAAAACAAGCTCAGTACCCAAAATAATGTATAAAACAAGCTCAGTACCCAAAATCCATTTCTTGAATGCTTAAAACAATGCAACTTCTATTAGCAATTCCTTTCCAAAAAATCCTTTTCTCAATAATCACCCTTTTTAAGCTTCAGCATTACTTTGGTGTTACTTGGAACCCGCAACGGTTTGCTAGAGGTGTTTTAAGAAGTTTTTGTTTTCTTACTTTATTCAAGTATTTTGTTGTTTTATTTTTTATTTGAGTAGACTACCATTTTTAACACTTGTCAGTCTGTTGTCAGTGTGGTGTTGATTTCAATATTCTTCCTGTACGCGGGTAGATTTAAGATTGCTTTTCAGGGACATTAAGCCATCTATCGGGTTTGGTTAGAAGAATGAGTGAAGGATGAAGAAGGGAGTCGTTTATTATTTGGCTTAGCATTCATATTACAACCTAACACAGCTCCCCTTAAATTATACGATATCTGCTTTCTAAACTGATCAGTAGTAAACTGATCAGTAGTAAACTGATCAGTAGTAAACTGATCAGTAGTAAACTGATCAGTAGTAAACTGATCAGTAGTAAACTGATCAGTAGTAAACTGATCAGTAGTAAACTGATCAGTAGTAAACTGATCAGTAGTAAACTGATCAGTAGTAAACTGATCAGTAGTAAACTGATCAGTAGTAAACTGATCAGTAGTAAACTGATCAGTAGTAAACTGATCAGTAGTAAACTGATCAGTAGTAAACTGATCAGTAGTAAACTGATCAGTAGTAAACTGATCAGTAGTATTCAAATGGTTGTTGAACAGCTGAGGAGAATGTCACTTAACGAGCTAATTTTGCTGTCGAATTTGACCAGTTCTGGTGCTGC